AGCCATGAGGCCATGAAAAGTCGAAACTTTGGATGTGCTCAGGCCTCATCCTGTGGCCCGCACACCGACCATAAGGTGACGTTTCCCTCAGGATTAGTGTACAGGTTAGTAGGGAAAGGGAGGTCAGAGGAGGAAGAAAAAAAATAGGAGTAATAGGCAACGAAATGAAAAGAGGGCGGAGTATGCTGCATTGCGACGAAACAATATTCTGTCGCCTCATCTATATTTATATTCCTATTTACAATGTTTATATTCAATTCTATGCGCAAGGCACTACATAAAAACGCCTGAAAACCCCGAAGGCAACGGGAATCGACGGAAGACGGATCTTTATTCTCAATAACATCCAGCAGTTGGGACAAAGGGAGAAAAGAAGGGTCTTGACATAAGTTAAAAAAAATATTGATTATGCGGTGATAGAAAGTACTGTGCAGACATGGTAGGGGGAGATTATGTACCTACTCCGTAGACAATGATCCCCCCAAAGTTGCACCTGCAGAAATGGCGCATGCAAGTACGAAACTAAGCTGTCAGTTAGTCTGGCTGTCTGGGTAAATTGTTGGTGATCCTCCTTGACGGGTGTTACGACGTACAGAGAGGTACTTGGGAGGTAAGGTAAGGTATCGATGAGTACGCCTAGCGTCCGAACTACACTGTGCTACTGGTATTAGAAAGACTGGCAGTCGTTGTGTCTTCGAGGAAATTTCCTATTGTGTCTTCAACGCCCCTTTTTCTCCTTCCTTCGCTTTGTAATGGGCCGCTCGGCTTTGGGAGGTCTGGGAAGGGAGATAAGGGCCTTATTTACTTACATGCTTTGACTCCCTTCCTTTCTGACTCAAGGTTATGCGCGGAGAATATTTTGGGATTCTTGTTAACAGAAAAAGAAAGAATGAAAGGATGATTATTTGCTTGAAACCGGATTGAAAACGTAAAAATTGAAAAAGAAGGCTCACATGCAGGTTCCTGCTGGAACGGGTTTAGCTTATTGACTCAGCATCTCACCCCCGGAATTCTTCCAGCAGCATCAGTATCTTCCATAACTGTATCATTAAATGTTATTGAGTATCCAGATGTACCGTTTAACCAGTCAGATACTCATATCTGTATCGGTATGGATGATGGAATCGCTCGTGGTGGACCGATTTCTGTTCTTCACAAATCTGCCCCTATCTGCCAACTGCCAACCGGTCTGCCTGGATTTCCCTAGGTGACAAGTGTGAACTATTCTTGCGCATTGGGATGCAAAAATTGCAGGACTTGCTCTGATATCTCAGGAGCTACCCAATCGAGCGCGTTTTAGTTGATGGAAAGTGCGCCGTTTGATGCTCTCGGGCCTGGAATCCTTCAAGTGCTTCCCCTAGACAATGCAGCGGCCCATTATTAATGTGGACAGTCTCAGAGCCCACAGCCCTCGGTCGAGTCAGCCCTATCCCTTTCGAATCAAAGCTCGGCTATCCCCCCCCCAGCGGTCGGCTAGACATCTCGTCTCACATGACAATGGGCTACAAGGTAGGGGAAACAGCGATGTTTGGTATGTAACAGTGGCTCGGTCCGTTGCGTATCGTTGTTTCAGGTGAGAACACAAACATAATCAAGTGAATAGGTAATCGAAGGAGTGTGTGTCTCAATCTGCATGTCGGTGCTGGATCATATTCTGGTCTTGGTCAAGTAGGGTCGGAGCAAGGCATGGTCCTTTCGATGCTGACTCTATCCGCAGCACCTGGTTACTCTTTTCTCCATGCCGCATATACAGCAACAGGTGTACGGACTCCAGTCTAAATATATCTTGACGTCAGACCACAAATTGCCTCTTGGCTTTGGGGGAAAGAGCTCCCGGGGAAAAGGGTTTTGTCTAGCCAAGTTGGGAACTGCAACGCCCCCAAGTTCGCCCTAGTGATTTTCATAGTGGCAAGCACGGAGTCATCTTGACAAGGCCTCTGGATGGACTTGAGCTTTTATACGTTCCTTCTCGTCGGGAATTTGCCCCTCAAAATTACTATTTTCGACGCTAATGAAACCAAGACCTGGTCACGGATTTTCGCTGGCACGTCATGCGTCGTGTGATTTTTTTCTTGGGAATCAAAAGGCCCCAGCTCTGTACTTTCAGATGGATGATCATCCATTGCCCCCGTGAGATAAGCCAATCGAAGGGTCACAGAGTTGGCTGTCGCCGTCAGTGCTTCAGGAATATCTGGAGTTAAGAGACCAAGTGAAAACCTGTTACTCCGACATGATGCGGGTGAATGTGAATGCATTTTCCAGCCTGGTCATACCCCCCAGTCCTGGTATCAGCAGGGTCCTGGCCATGTATTCTCCTTACAGACCCCCATCCTAGGATGTACAGAAGCATGCAGTTGCAAATCCCGTGTCGAGGTCCTCGCTCAACCGGATTTGCTGTCATACAACCTGGCCCTCGGACCACTTTACACAGCCACCGACGCCTTGTGTCGACTCCAGTCCCTCTGGGTTCTAATGGTCGCCCTTGATTCCCCTCCCCCGAGGCGGGAGATGTTCCGGGATTGGCCGTTCATGTATACTTGCCTGGCAGCAGCCGTTCCCCAAGTTTGCTTAAATTGATTTCAGAAGACAAGTCACTTCACCACGCCCGATTTGGTCAAACATGCAGCAGCTAATTGATTATCCATGATTGTGGCTTCATGATTGTACTCTTCCCTTCAACGGTGTGGTGTCGAATTCTCCACCACCTAGGAGGGTGGTTCTCCTAGATGGCGTGTCCGATGGTTGACAGGAATTATCGCTAACTACAATGGCAATTTACCTGACAATCAAAATGGAATTCCTGAGATTTAGGAATTTTGAATTGCTGACTCGCGATAGAAGGAAGATAGGCGATGTCAGTGCACTGGTGGCTGTAGACCAGGTCTTAGTAATTCTACAAATACAATGCTACAGAGTATCAGTCTTGGCTGGATGCGGCAACTAACTACGGATTGACACACTTGGAGGATCCAAAACATTCCGTTCCCTCATTGCCAGACGAGAAAGGAAAGGAATCCGACAACTCTTTGATATGTTTCAGTAACATTTGATCGTGAAGCATTTGCCATGGTTACTCGATAGAGATGGCGGATGCTTTCTCACTTTCGAAAAAGAAAGCTAGAGGGTTCTCAAATGTACCTATCTGCCTAGGGGTACATATTTACTCAACTCAAGGTAATTTGCGTAACGGGCAACAATTCGAAAACCCAAGCTCGGACGATTCGAGGCTTGAGTGGAGGAATGGATCTAAGACTCGAAATGTACTAAAGGCCGGGGAGGGTGGAGGTACATCCATGGTACTTCCTCTAGGACTAGCGCGCCTACTAAGTCGGCACAGACACCTATACCGTAAGGTACCACCTGGTAAGATACTAGGTACAGTACTGTACTGTCCGAGTGTCAGAACGTGACAAAAGTACACGGACCCCTGGCGCCGCGCGGTGATTGGGCCGGGGAAACAGGGATGGCAGCAGCCGCGGGCTTTTCCAGCAGCAGGTCGCCGCAAAGGGCAGGCGGACCGTACTTTTCCTTCCGTGGCGGCGAACCACTTGGTTGCCCTGTTGGTTATTTTAGTTATTATCTTTTTGTGTTTTGTTCGTTCTCTTCTTCCTGCCTACCGGTCTCTTCCTGATTCCCTCTCCCATGTCTCGAAGTAAGGTATCGTCCTTTACTGCCTTACTAGCTTCTATTTAGTTCTCGGAGATTGAATGATTCATGCTGCTCGATTCTCTCTCTCCCTCTCGCTCAGACTGTTGGCGCGGTAAACCGACTGCATTTCATTACATCCATACTCATACTGTACAGACAGACCTGCAGACCGTCCAGACCGGACTCGGCCACAACTAATATTATCAACTTAATGATCCCATCTGGATGTCTGGAAAACTGGAGTGACGGACTGCCTTTTTTCCTAACCCAACTACCTACCTACTCCGTACATCGTCATTCCCCCTCCCTCTCCCAAATACCTGACCTTCAAACCTGACTTCTTGACCTCCGTCTCTACTCGTTTCGATCATTTACGTTTCCCTACAAACTCGCCTGTTTTCCCCTACATAAGTCTGTCCTTTTATTACTTTCTGGCCCTTATTTTTTCTCTTCCTCTTCGATCCCCACGTCTTTCCCTCGTGAGCTCGCTTTTTGACTTCTTTGATTTTCTCTTCTTTTCCCTTCTCTTCTCTCTTCGTCCTTCTTCTCTCTCTCTGGTCCACATCATCCATCACCTTCGCATTACGTCCGCGGCTCCCCACACCGTGCTTTTCTATTCTTGGCTCTACTCTGCCTCCGGTCTTCTGCCTCCGTCGACAACTGTTTCCCTGCTCCGGAAGACATCAGAGTATGAGTGACGGCGAGCTCTCGGTGATCTGTTCATGATGGAAGGTTCCATCCCTCCGTCGGCCGCCCTTCCTGTCTCTCCTACTACCACTTCCTCCTCTTCGGCCGTCTTTCGTCCCCGCAGATCTGACGACTGGCACGAGTATCGACCAGCCATCGAGCAGCTCTATCGCGATAACCAGTTAAAGCTCAAAGATGTTAAAAGAATCATGGAGCGTGATTATAACTTTGTTGCCTCGTACTGTTTTCCCCTTTTCCTTTGCTCCCGCTGTCTTTGTTTTCTTTTTTCTTTTCTTTTTCTCCCCCCAGCCTTTCTTTCCGCTCTCAGGGAGGTCATGTATAAAATCCATCCAAACTTGAACTAGCGGATTTCAGATGATCTATTCTGGGGCTATTCTATCTCACAGACGGATGTTTCTGTTCGCCTGCTTCATCTCCAATTCTCGTTGCCCCTTTCTTTTCAGTGAGGAAGAGGACAGTGCGTCGTCTCTGTTGCTTTTTCTCAATTGCTTTTTCCACCCCTTCTTTGCTTTTTCCTCGATGGACGAATCAGGAGCTCAATAGTCATCCCCCTAACAATCAATACGTCCAGGGAAAAACAATATAAAGACCGCCTGGCAGCTTGGCACATCCGAAAGAACATCAAAAATAAAGAGGTTCAAGTCATGATCCGGAAACAGCAGAAACGAGCGGCTCGAGGCAAGCAAACCGCCTTTCGCGTTGGTGGGCAGGAAGTCGACTCCAAACGCATCGCACGCTTCGTCCGTAGATATGGCACCCAGTGGGACAGCAAACCTCGCGATGACCACCGCCAAGCAAGCCCAGAACCAAGTGAGTCAGATCTTTTCCCGTGCACTATTCCATTGCTCAATTGTTTATCTGGAAATTGCAGAAACCCCGTCTGATATGAGTTGCTATACTCCCGAACCCGACGAACGAGGCGCAACCTTGTCTCCGCTGCCTGAGCTGCAGCCAAACCACCGAGAGGTGGCACATCCTCGCTGTATGCATCCAGTCCAACATGCCCTTTTCATTCGGATGTTTGTCGATTAACCAGTCATAACTCTAGACGACGAGACGTTTGATCCGATGCCCGAAGCCGACCTTGATGATAATCGGTCCTTGACGGCTACCCTCAGTCCCAGTCTACCCAATGAAACGCCCAAACCTTTAGAACCTCCTTTGCAAGAGGCGGATGCTTGGAGTGAGCTTGTGTCATTTCAAGATCGCCTTTTGGTCCTGCATCAGACCCTTGAACAGACCATGTCTGGGTTTACGTCGCCCCACGATGAATGAACACGACAGTCCGAAAAGAACAACAGGCGCTCTCAGCGCCTGAAGGCCCAGAGATGGAGGAAAGCGAGCCGTCACCCCGTTAGGGAACTGCTCGAATGGAAGATTGTCAACACCCCCTCTCTCTAATACCTCTTGTCATTGATCAGAGTAACTATACTACCAGCCGCATCTCAGTTTACTGCATGTTCTGTAATACTGCCCCCATTGTTGCCGTCTGCATTTCTTTGATCCAGTTCTATTTTCCTTTCCCATCTTTCCTTCCGTTTGATTGGTTCACTAGCTTTTTCGTTCTGCCCTTCTCAGAGTGCCGACTATATAGAGCATCTATGGTTTGTTTTTCTGGGAGAGGTATAATGTAGGTTCTGGTGTACCCTTTAAATGAAATTGTCAAGGTGAACGGGACTGGTGGAACTTTATATCCAGACCTCGACCACGAAGGCGTCGCGCCCGCCCCAGTCTTGCCTTCCAACAACACAACCCACAGAGCAGGCTGATGATTACACGGTGCCGATCTTATCGCGGGCTTCAGACTCTCAGGTCATTACGAAACCGTCGCCTTGCAATCAGCTCTCGACCCACAGCTTCATGGAACCTCAACTATCGATGTGCACGGCGTGTTTTCATGAGTGAAATGACTCATCATCACCGATCACCTCCTTCATGACCCATATCGATGAGAATTTGTCAAAAAGCGATGGAAAGGCTAGCCTGCTTTTGGGATGCCAATCCAACCGAGATTCAGATACCGGCGTCACATAACAGCTTCAATGTGACATTACATTGCTGGCACCTTCCGGATATACCTTCTACACTGTCGATGAAATAATAGGGGGAAGACATGTGTTTCTAACTTGTATGAAGGTGACAACGATAGATATTCGTCCTGCTCATTCTAGTTGCGCTCACTATCAGATCGAAGGTCTAGGATCGAGGTAGTTGACATATTCAGCGGTATGCGACCATGCGTATTGGACGGACCCTAGCGCACGAGCCCTCGAGATCCTGCAGGACGACGATATTCCATAGCCCGGTCGCCACCACACACGCCAACGCCAAGGCTGCCCCAGAAGATCGCTAGTGACAGGGGCAAAACACCGCAAGCGAAGGACAAGCCCAGCAGATGTCAACTCTCATAGTAAATCCTCGCAAGCGAAGTGAAAGACAATACTTCCACATTTCCTAGGGTCATAAGCAAACGATGTTGCATGGGGAGTCCAAAAGTACTAGCGCTGGTTCGAGTGGGTAATCACAAACGACAGGAATTGAAAGAATCCAAACCCCGGGCTGAAATATATTAATAGAAGGTAGATTATGGGCAGTACCACCGCTAATGGTTGCACTGGTCCCCGAGACACAGATATCAAAACAAGTCGGTGGAAACAAACAAACGCTAGACTGGAAAACAGGTCCGAGTCCTCCACGACCAATAGTTCTGCCCAAGAGACACCTCCCATCAGGGGGAAGAAGCAAACAAAGCAGCCAAAAAATAGGGAAAAAGAATCCGCCACAAATCAGATGACAGACTGCCGCCAGCAGACAAACGGAGGGGGACCACTGGCGCCCGACTCCAGTCCAATCCGGTAACGCCAGCCCTAACCTGAGCGAGCAGATCCAAGGGGGGGCAGCGGGCCAGTCAGTGGTTTCAGATCCTGGCGTTGTTCGCGCCGGATATTGTCGATCTTTGTTGAACAAAAGTACTGGTCTTAGGATTACGCGGTAGATTTTATCCAAATTTGTTGATGTCATTTATTAGGAATCTCGTGCACTCTACAAATCCTCTTTCGGATTCACCGTACTCGATCGTATAATCTGTACTTAATATTTCGGGTAGAAAACAAGAACGTGTACCCCGTACATATATGTGAAGACAATATCTAACCTCCTGAAGGACCCACCGAGCAACGCAGCTGAAAGCCCGCTCACTACTCCGTACAGAGTAGATGCTCCGTAGATGGACCGCCAAAGTACTCCATAGTCCCTACACACATACGTAGTAAGGTAGACTAGTTAGTAAAGTTAGTACTATCATATGACCCAACTTCCTAGTCTTAACCATCGCTCTTATTAGTATCCTTTTGGACGGAACCCCGGGAATACCTTGCTGCCTGATATATGACGTGATTTGTAGCCCTGGAATTCTTTGTATGTATGTATGTACACCGCTGGATCTGGTTGTCTTGACATCATTGATGTTCGAGGATGACCTCGGCTGAGGGTTGAGCGGTAGGCTATCGATAGTTCATCTGCCTTTTTCAGATGACCGTTATTTTGGATTACTAGATAGTTAGTTTGTATGGTAGGTGGTTAACTAGTTGGTTTGCTTTGTCAGTGACAGTGACAGTGCCAGTGCCAGTGTCAGAGGATATTCGCATATGATCATGAGGGGCGCTTATAGTCGGGTTATTTATTTATTTCTTTTTTCTTTTTGGTTTCTTTTCTTTTCTGTTGCTGCTGCTATGGAGGCTTTAGATAGACTCTTCAGCTGTGAATAATTCAGATGTCAGAAGCCAGGGTACCAAAGTCATGTCATCAAGAATGAACAAAGTAAATTCAAATTGCTCAACTATCTAGGTAGGTAGGTAGGTAGATGGGGGGCCCTTCGATCATGCTAAACATATAGCTATTCCGTTATATAAAAAAAAAAAAAAAAAACTTCCACTGAGTACAGCACGTACCCAGGACCCTGTCCAAAAAAACCAATAATCACCTTCACGACCTTTTGTCAAATAGCTTTGTTCCACTTATTATGGAGTGAGATTATCCGGACGGGTGTCTGTACTCGGATGGATGTCCGTTCATTCTATCTCCAATCCAATTGCTCAAATAATATCATTCATATATGCAGCTACTGTAGATAGTCAGGATAGGCAGTGCCGGTCTATGGAATGGATACGGTTCAGCCAAGGTTGGTTTAGTCTAGTCTACGAGTAAACGAAAGCTAATAATTAGTTCGATCCAGGTGCATTTATAATATTCTTATAGCATAGCATAGACAACCCCCACGTTGTTCTGGAGGAGTCAAATCTAGCTGCACATCCATTCACATGAAAGGGTTCCAAATCCAATTCGAATCCAAGCCAGAATAGGATCCCCGTTCAATTAACCAGGTATGAAAATGGTGAATTAAACGTGTATGCATGGCTTCGCACTCTTTCTCACTCCGGATTGGAAACTGGCTCGGCAGATGCTCGACCTAGATGGGTGTGTTATCCAGTGTTGAGTAGCTACAGGCTAACTTTACAACTGCAGTTTTCAGTTCTAGATATCATTGCTAATTTATGTCATGTACAGTTATTATAAGCGTTTAAAATATGCACTTTCCTCAATTATAGGTCTTGGGTTGTTCAATCTGGATTCCTGAGTGGAATGAATTATCGGCATCGGAAGCGTACCCGGTAGGTGGTTTAACCGGAATCCGTATCCGAGCTGACATCGACATCTAATGTTCCTACATATTGCTGTCAGAACATACACCGTATATTATTCATTAATATTCTAGATATGAACAAAGGACAGAGGAGAGTCGGATAACACACTTCCATCATCAATCATAGGATGTATACCGTTATACTCCACTTTATCTTTCATTCTACTCTACTACTATACAATAATCCCTAGCAAGTAGAGTACTATCCAGCTATCAGCTAATGCATTACACACCAGGGACACATAGAGGGGACGATGATATGAATATCGATTCGTTTTCACTAGTTCTAAGTTGGTCAGCCACACACCGGCGCCAGATTGTCATGGGACTGTGGACCCTACACTCCGTACAATGTTGTGTACTGCAGTACATCCCCTTTATCTGATCTATCTGGTTGTACTGAAGAAATCCATTCCAAAAGTTCCATTCTATGCGTCATTGGATGGTATCTAGGTAGGTAGGTAGTTCCATGATAACAGCGAGTAAGTAGGTATACTTTTCGGTCATGAAGTCAAAAGGTCAGGTAAAACGGTGAAGAGATAAGAGAATATAAATAATAATTTATACAAGAGTTAAAAGTGAGAGGAATAAGAGAGATGTGTATAAATAGAGGAAGTAGAAAGTGAGAAAGGGGTAAAGGAAGAAGACCTTTTGAAGCGCTCAACCATTAACAGAAGACGAAAGGAATCACATCACAATCACAGTGAACAAAAACAAGCATGAGAAAACAGAAACATGTCCCGGCAATGGAAAGAAAAACAAAATAAGTTACCCAACGCTTGTAATATCCCGTAGACCAAAAGTAAAGAAAAAGTAGGTAGGAAGTAGTCATCAATATCTCTCATCCCGAGTGATATACAGTCATGTGCAAGGATTTCGACTCGGTGGACTGGGTCGATGATAGGTTCAAGATGGAGTAGTGAGTCAAGAAGGCAGGTATACGCCTATGAATAGAAAGCGCTCTTTTGGAAGCTCTCCGGCGAAATATCACCCATCTTGCCCTTGAGCTCGGGCTTCGTATCCTGGGCAGCGACGGTAGCAATCTCCTCAGACGCGCCCGCTTGCAAGCTGTTGCTCCGGCTAGCCGCCTGGCTACCGGCCGTGATAGCCTGCTGCGGTTTCCGCTGAATCGTCTCCAGGTAAGGCCCGGGAAGGTATCCGACGCGGCCGTCTCGGGCCCGGCATCGCCACCATTCAGATGCATTGCCCATGGGGTCCGACTTGCTGAGAACGGCGACGATGTCGCCCTTGTTCGCGGCCAAGTCGATGCCGTTGCTTTCCTGCGACTCGGGGGAGTAGTCGTACAGCACACGGCAGAAGTCCAGCTTAGACGGGTCCAACGGAGCTCCGCCCTGCAGCTGTTCCCCGTTGGGACCCTCCATGAGCTGGCGGCGCTGCTCCTCCTGTGAGCGGGCCAGCGACTTAATAAGTTTGCCCATGAGATACGGAAGTCCAAATAGAGCGATCAAGAACATGAAGAACGGCTTCTTCGATGGTTTAGGAGGAGCAGGCGACCCATCAGGGAGAGTGGCGGGTCCGGATCGTCCGTTCAGGAAGGCCGCGAAGGCCGACGGAGTGAGAGAGGTGGCGTCGGCGGGGGGTGGCCGACCGGTGATTTTGGCGATCAGCGTCCTGAACCACCTGATCAAAGTGAAGATGCCGAGGGCCGAGCCCAGAGTATTGCGTAGATTGCCAAACTGTTCGGCGACGGAAACCATAGCTGTCATCCGCCTGAGTCAGCCTTACAGTCCTCGATAAGACGCGAGACAAACGAATATGAACGTACCGAAGAAAGAGCTGTGAGTCGCCATATAGGTACTCTCGAGCATCTGAGCAAACCCGCCAAACGCGCCCACAATACTCTCAATCATCTGAAACGTCGCCTGAGTGTTCTGACTGAACGAATTCGTCAAACTGTTGGGATCGTTGGGATCGCCAGGCATGCCACCTCCGTACATGCCTCCCATCCCGCCCATCCCACCGTACATGCCACCGTAGCCGCCCATTCCGCCATACATCGATCCCATCCCGCCCATCGTGCCGAAACGGGAGTACGGGGAAGAGTAGGAGCTGTAGCCGCCGTAGCCTCCGTACGGACTGGCCCCGAACCGCGAGGCACCATACGGCGAGTAATTCGACGCCGTGCGATTCACGACTGCATTTAGAGAATTAGGTCGAGAGGGTAGATCGGGAGCGGTGGAGGTGGTCGTCGAGGCCGCGGTCGGCGCAGCCGAGGTAGTTGTAGTCATGGCCGATGCGGGAGCCGTGGTAGCAGTGGATAGGGCGGTCCCTTCACGAACAAAAAGAACAGAGGTCGTTAGTCAATATGGTCAAGATCGTGAACAGAGATACGACAAGTCAGTTGATCACCTACCACCAGCGGCGCCTACCCTCTCCCACGGCTTGGGTGGCGAAACTGATGCCATGGAGATCGGGAAATCTCACCAGCCTCGCATCGAGTTGGACCCAATCAAGAGGCCAGCTGTCGGAAGAGAGCCGAGTCTAGATGGGGAGGTGGGTGGAAGTGAATGGAGGATAATCCGGGGGTGGATGGAAGATGGGGGAAGAGAAAAAGAGGAGCGAGAGAAAAGAGGAGAAGAGGGGAGGAGATGGAGAGATGGAGAGAGATGGAGCGGGAATGGATCGCCCGTGGAAAGCGGTGGAGAAACAAAGCGAGTTCTCGGCGCATGTGCGAAGTGCCGAGGCTCCGCGTTTTTGCCGACGGACTTGCCCGACGCTCACATTCGCTTTCCGACTACAGTGACATACTGTACAGCCATACAGACAGTTAGAGAAATAGCACTAGAATCAATCAAGATCAATAGATCAAGCAAAAGTTGCGATTCTACCCATGTATGCTACAAATCGCCCCAAACTCCAAACAATGCAAATGGCGTCCAGATCGCCGGTCTGTCTATGTATACAATCCAAACAAAACCATATCGAACCTCTCCCTGTGATCATAGCTCATCACGGCTGTTGGCTACCGGAGTACCAGGAAGCCGGATTCTCCAGGAGCGCGGAGGCACTGGAAGACCCAACCAATAACTCCAGAGCCGGTTGATCTCCAGGACACAAATGTCCCATCTGCAGGTTGATTATTAGCAACGCGATCGGACCCAAGCATTTCGAGGCAATAATAATCAAGACTTACATAGTTCGAGGAGCATTGAGCCATGACTTCCCAACGTAGACAAAGGTGTCCCATACCACGGCAAACTCGGCCTTGATGTCGTCCATGACCGTGTCAGTCTCACGTCGCGCTCTGGCTCGCTCCCACGGTAGCTTTTCAGTGGCGTATGCGAAATCGTCTTCGTCATTTTCATAGTAGAAAGTCGAACCACCATCTTTATAAAGCCGTTTCGTGTTCCCGCCAGTGGGGTTCTTCTGTCGCGAGCCCGGAGCCGCTTGGATGGCAAACACTTCACCGTCGTTCAGATCCATGGCGCGGTGGAAACTGCGAACAGCGGCCAGACTGTGCGAAATGCGGCCCAGGGTGTTGACCAAAGCCACCAACTCGGTCCTCCGAAGCAAGGGGTTCTCGCCGTTCTTCGTCTCGTCGTATTCGAACAAGACCTTCAAGGCGGTCCCGTACCCGTTGACCTGGAGCTTACCCCAGAGTCGGCATTTGTCGCACCCCACGCAGTCCATCAAGCGGCTGACGTTCCTGAATCGGTTGCGGAAGTCTTCCTTCAGGCCGATGGCACTGGGATCCTGGAACATGATATTCTCGTCGAAAATCTGGGGCCGGTCGGCAAGAGCTTTGGTGAGCGTGGATACCTTCGCTTTCGTTTCAGCATCCTGGAGAGGATCGCTGGTGCAGTAGGTGTATCCCTCCAGGTGCTTCCGTAGTTTCGCCACAGCCCGAGACACGAGTGCGTAGTTGAAGTACAAGTTGGAAATCCGCTCCGGGTGGTCGTGCAGTCGCTCCTTGAAGCACTGCAGATTCGGATGCCACTGTCCCGTCGTTTGGTTGAAGTAATCCCAGCAGAGATGCGTCGAAATCGAGGCGTGCATTCCACTAATGACACGATGGAAGACGCGCTTCTCCAAACACTCATTGTCTAGAGGCAACCCCTCCGCATGCTTCAGTTCCTTCTGAATCACATTACGGAAGTCATTGACGGCCTCCAGCCCTCCCCACTGAGGGTTCGGAGACGACTCCAGCTCCGGAACCGGCTTCAGGAAACAATTCTCACGGTAGACCGCATCCCAGAGTTGCCGGGCCCCGGCTCCAGCGTATCCCGTGAACCGCTCCGGATTGTCCACCAAACTGACATAGTCCCCCTTGCTGCTAGCTCCCTCGTCCTCGGGGACGCAGTAATCCCGCTCATCACACTCGTCGTCATACTCGACCACACAGCTCTCCCGGACGTTGTCTCCCAGCATGCCCTGGAGGGGTCGATCCTTTGGTCGCTCCTTTTGTAGCTTCCGACCGGGATGGCCGGCCTTGGGACCCTCGAGTTTACTCAGTTCCTCCGCGCGCCACGTCAACGGGATGTCTTCTTCCGATTCGATCGTCGTCACGGAGCAGGCGATGTTCCCGCACATGCTGTCGGAGTCTTGCCAGAATGGGCAGACTTTGTTGAATAGGTTGAGGCGGTAGTAGGAGAAGAAATCGGTTTCTTGAGTAAGGGATTGAAGGATCGTGTAGACTTGGTCGTTCATCTGGTTAATGGAGGCATAGGAAACGCAGGCGTCGGACACCGTGGCACTAGGGTCAATCTAGGAGGATCGAAGGTCAGCGGGCAAGACGACACTGGAACAGCGTGGGATCATAGAACTCACAGCGCAGGTGTCCACTTCAAGTTTGGATTGCTCATGGCCGCCATGATTGGCGGAGGTGAGGTTTAGAAAGGCAAAAACAGCCAAGTAAAAGACCTTGGCTGCGGAGCGCATTGTGGCGCAAATGTCTGGAGTCCAGACACGAACGACGATACGTCGAGACAAGAAAAGGGAAACGACTGAAAGACAGCTAGATAGCCAAGTAGAAACGTAAATCGATCAATGTAAACACCGTGCCAAGTTGATCTTCACATGAAAATCACCAGCAGTGGACCAGCACCAAAAAAGAAAAAAAGAAAAAGAAAAAGCCAATTAGATAAGGCGGCGAAGACTCGTAGGTAGTCGGGTTTAGTGTCTCTCTATCTCTAATTCAATCGAGATGAATAGTCGCGAGTATCGGACGAAACGAGCGAAATCGAGTGAAAGAAGAGGCGACGTTCACAAAAGGAGGGAGGAATGGGCGGAAGTAAAGAAGGGAGGCAGAGGGCGAAGTTGACAAGCTGTCCTTGGTGGCGGGAGTTGCATGACTTATCGGCTGATTATCAATAATGAGGGAAAGGAGTCGATTCCGCCTTTCCGCCCCGATCAATTATTTACCTCCCCTTTTGGGTCCTTATTGATCATTCCTTTGTCCGTCGTGAGGCCATCGCATCTCCCTGGACTTCCCATCGGCATCAGGCCATACGCGACCACCTGTTATTCGATTCGATTGCTACGGAGTAGTTTTGCAAGGATGAACCCAACAGCTGTTCACATCTACCCACCCGTGTTCAGTACGGATCTACTTAGGATGAGAGTCCCTGACACCGAACTAACACCGATATGTTTAGTCTCGATCCCTCCAGACGACCCTGAAATATTATTAATTTACATCACCTTCTACCCCCGACGTTTCATCTTCTAGAATTTTGAATATACTCCGTAATCATAAGCTGATCCAACTGCCTCTAAACTTCCTCGTCCTAATTACGAGTCCCGTGCCCTCTCTTTCTCCTGACTACATTCCTCTGTCTGCCTTGCGTAGTGCCTAGTAGGATAACCCGATACTGTGTAGGCAGCAGCACATCGGAGCCTTTTTTGGATCTTGGCCGTTAACCGTCAACCCCTAGCGACTCGAAACAAATCAGGAAGGTATCTACGAACAGGCGGGAAGGTGCATCTTGTCTCACTCGCAACGTGAATATAGAATGGGACGTAGGACGAGGGACGCCAGTATACTGTGTAGTTATTTAGACTAAGAGACTGACAAGGAAGGTACTAACATCGTGCTAGAAGGCCAAATGGGATGGTTCGCACAGGACGCGATCAACTATCTTGCCTTATCTCGACTAGGGACTGAAGATGCAGGGGATGGGGTGAACATACCGCTGTCTGCATGCCAGTCACGTCGATGGGGATCCCCTCGCATCCATCTACGGCGGGGTTGCAGTCATCGTAGCGACGCGTCTGTTTCCATGGATGAGATGAGTTAGCGACTCGGAGGGCGGTGTTTGGCTGTTCAAAAAGACCAGGCCGTATCTTTGACTAGACCTAGGTGTCGCAAAAGTAGAGAAAGACCATCGTTAGATATGTTCAACTACGATGAAGCAGACTACAATGGAGGTCAATGTTTGGTGTGAAATGATCTTTGTCATTTTCTCTGAATTTATAGATGGATCAACCATTCTCTTCCTCAAATGACTGTGCGAGGGGATACAAACAGGCCATTGCCAGGCAACACAAAAAATCATCTCGGGAGTAGCGAGGATACATGAAGGGCAACGGCGAAGAAAACAGACAGAATGGAGACCTTTCGCAACCTCGAAGACGGTGAGGATGCTTGGATGTGCCATTTTTCGGCGATACATGAGACAATACATGAGTGCAACGAATTCCCCAGCCGAGGATACATTAAAAGAACAGGCGGACAGGGAAAAAATGATGGAAAAAAACCTCTGTCTGGAGAGAAGAAAGAAGAAGAAGAAAGTGAAAGAGAACTCCGGGCCCGTCGAGAAGATGGGGCCATCCATTAGATCAATCCGAACAGAGCAAGTCCGACCAACTCCAAGCTAAACCGAGAAACCGCTCTTTCACACCGTGGCTGCCGTATTAGGCTACCGGGAAGATGACGAAGATCGCAGATAAATATAGTATGTCCCGTTTGGGACCAAAAAATGTACATGTCAGAAGTGAAATGAAGTTGTCTTGGAATCCGAAAAAGAAACTCCAGCAGTAAATCATCACTCTATAGCGTCGATTGTAGAGTCACCGTCTGGTTAATTCTAGCGTAATTTATGTTTTCGTATGCCATATCAGGTCGTGCCCCGTCGGCGGCGGAAGTTCAAGACCTTTCGGATCGAGGCAAATGGCTTGGGAAGAGGTTTGTTGTAGAATGGATCGTTTTTGAAATCCTCATCGGTAAATTTCTATTGAAAGCAAACGTTAGCGACTGAGACCAACCCGAGCCAGAAATGTGATAGACACGTACCAATCCGGGACAGCGCATAAAATTTCCATAGTCGTTCATCATGTTGGGTCCCTCCTCGTATTCATAGGTTTGGCCTTCCCTGTCGGTGTGTCCGGGAGGGAAATAAGCCACTCCATCTAGCGGACGGTGGCTATCGAGACAGTCGCGGATTTTGTCGGACGGGGTGGCTTTGAGAGCCTCTGCGTTTGACGTCTGAAGCGCTTCGACGGGACTCACTTTGGTGTCGTGATTTCTTTCCGGGTAGACAGCGTCGTAGGGACCTTCGTGGTGGTATTGATAAATACCCGCGTCATCTAGACGGTCGATGATATCAGGATTGACGAGGAGTGAGTCACGCGGGAATCGGGTCTGACGTCGTCCTGAGCGTATCGTGTGTTGCCGACGAGGTTGTTGGTGGTGATGGTGATGGTGGCTATGGTGATATGTCGGATACTCTCGCCTCCTCGGCTGCTCCATGGGAAAATGTTCGAGCATCCCGTTGTAGTAGACGGACGGGACGGAGGACGATCTTTGATGTCGGAGCGAGGGACGAGAAGGAGAAGGAGAGAGGAAGCGATGGTAAGGATTATGACTCCGACGGTTCATGTCCAGGCGTGGAGAAGAAGAGTAGCGAGGAAGAGGGGAGAGAGGCGAAGTCATATGCAAAACTTCGGTGGAGGCCATGGCCGAGGGGAACTTGACGGTGAGCAGAATCGAGAAGACCGGTACTCTCTGGGCCTGAAAAGACCGTGAAAGACAATACAATAAATGTATGTAGGCAGTTAATAGTACCGGAGCGCTAGTGAGAATGCGCGTAAATTCCACGAAGAGAAGTGGGGCCAGTCAAGAAGTATAAAAGTGCACGGTTGAAATGGTGCAGATGTTGGGTCAAATGGGTAGATTTTGGCAGAGTTGGAAGACAAAAGTAGTTTAAGAGGATAGATGAGGAAGAGAAGAAGAATATAAAGAGGAAGTATGACTACTACAAGGTGCAAGTGACGTTCACTGCCGAGGGCGAGAGTGACGTGACGACTTGCGTACGACGGGATTCTCACGGGTTTTCCACTCGTTGCCGGCCTTATCGATAAGGCCCTAAGGCCCACTTGGGCTTAGTGTCAGGGTCTGCGAGAAGACTAGACCCGTTCGGTTGCATTGACCTCGTCCTCGATGATGATGAGAGTGACAATCTCTGTCCTGTCCTCTGTGCCACCATCCGCGGTGTTCCTGGAAGAACTTGACTACACTGTGTACAACAGTAGTCGAGTCCGAGTCATCCGATAGACAACATGCACCCTGCTGACAGGGTCCACAGTGGCTAACCTGAGTTCATCGGATGTACCCTACGGAGAGCACAGGACAGTCTAGTGTCTACACCTCGTGACCTCAACGTGTGCTTCCTTCAGAGGAACCATTCTACGCATCGTTCCTCTTTATGTCCATTCTGTTCTTCCAGGACCGATTATTGAAGACCCTCAACCCAAAGCGTCCACCAGTCACCCCTTGATTTAAGCTTAACGCTTAGTATGGTCGTAGCGTTGATGGCGTTTTTCTCCTAGTCAGATTAGTACAAGACTCGGCGCTCTTCCCAAATTCCCACGCTTTTCCCAAGAACCGTTGCCGTGTCCACTTTTTTCTTAGTACGGACTAGAAGTCTAGAGGTCCAGCACCCACCACGAACGTCATGGATCAACATCCAACACAAAATCTCTGCGATCTTCGCTGCCCGCCACGAGTTCTCTCCAATGTGATGTCATCCGAGAACCCCACCCTCGGAGATGAAGGAACAGAATGTAATCGACCAGAGACTCTTGGGCAAGTTCGATTGGTAACTTGTTCCATTGGGTTTGGTTCATGGGGAGCTGCTTTGACCTTCGTATGCATTCCAAACCACATTGATTTGGCTGCAGACTAGTACACAATACTCGCTTGTGCATGTGCCACCTCTATGAGATCCGGTATGCACTCCACAATGGTGGACGCAAGGTCGAAAGCGTGAGCGTCGGAATACGCCAGAGTGGGGAATCCATGGCTGTCAATATTGCTCGAAATCGGCGTCCGAATTATTGAATTTCCAGATCAATACGAGAGTTCCATCCGACCTGTAAATCTCCGATGCGAAGGACGCTATTTTCGGCGTGGGACAAGTCGGAATCATCAACTCCGCGGCTGCTTGGCGCGACCGTAAGAATACCGCGGTGGCTTCCTCCTGTTTCATTGTAGTCCCCGTTAATCAGTCAACTAACCGGGCGGACCGATGGCTCTGGTGCAATACTCGGATTCCGAATCAGAAGAGGAGTCTCCTCCTAGACCTATCAAGAAAATTTGTCCGGCGCCCACACCTGCCTCGTCTCTTCCCCCACTGCCCAAGACATTCCACGATCTCTACGCCTCAAGTACTCGTGTCAGCGTAAAAGATGACCCCAGTCTCCATGGAGGTCGGAAGCGAGTGATCCCTCATATCGAAGGGAACTGGCCCACGCATCTTTACCTCGAATGTATAGTGTTTACCGTCAATTCCTCCTGGTATTTCTCTCGCTGACTCGGAACAGGGTTCCCTTCCAAAGATGAACTCGCCGTTCTCAGTGACATCCTCCGCCAGTGCGAAGACAGGCTAGGAAAAAGCAATATAGACCTCCACAGTCTATTGCACAGTGATCTCGGGGCCCAACTCCCGCTCCATATCAGCCTGTCACGACCAGTCGTACTGCGAACGGAGCAGAAGCAGCCATTCCTGGAGACGTTCACTACCGCTCTCCAGGACTCCCACATATCAGCGTGAGTGGCGCAGCACTTTCATATGACAGGACATAGCAATCTCATTCAGCCTCAGGTTTGACGTCGTCGCCGACAGCCTTCATTGCGTCTCCAATTACGAGCAGACGCGCTGGTTCTATGTCTTGCGCGTGAGAAAGCCGGAACACAACGGTCTCAATCGTCTCCTGGGGATCTCGAATCGCTGTCTGGCTCGATACGGCCAGCCCCCGCTATACGAGCCTCCGTCTGGACCGGGCACCGATCGGGAGTCTAGAGGACCCCGGAAGTCTACGCATAAAGGGGCAGCGCAGTCTCAGATGGGCGACTATTCTGAGTGTTTCCACATCTCGCTGGCGTGGAGTCTGACTGGTCCCTCTTCCGAAGACCACGACCGGATCGCACAGATAGATCTTCGACGAATGGCCGGTCTTCGGATTCCTTTCGATTGCGTGAAAGCGAAGCTCGGGAATCAAATCACCAGCATCCCATTGTCGACTGGAATCTTCGGCCAGCGAGGATGAGCACATGACATGATACCAGATAGAACGTTGTAATTTTGGATTTTCATATTGTACTGTACCTCTATATCGTATAATATCACTTTGACGCAAATAGTCATAGGATTGTACAATAATATCACCTGTAAAAAGTAAAAACATATCCCTCTCTAGAAAATAAAGAACCTCTCCTTTAAATCCCTTACTTTGCAGGATCTTATCAAGGTTCAATTATTGTGCCTAGAAGCCGTTACGGGCTGTATTGCCCTGGTAATCTTACCATACCCACCCCTGTCGCGCTAACCCGACCATCACGCGCTTTTCACCACAAACAAGAGCCTCCTCGGGTTTCTCAGGGCACCTCCCGCAAGAACAAGAATCCTCTCTTGTCAGGCGTCTTCTCAACATGCCTGATCTTCAAATCCCGAATGTGACAATAGTGAGTCAAAGCCCTTCAGCTAACCCACTAACTCATCTTCCACTCAGCATCCTAACATTTTCGCCTCGCTAGGAAGACCTTCAGACGTTCCAGGCAAAGCATTTCCCTGGCAGCGCCCAAATCCCGACGACTCAGTACCAGTACGAGTACGATGAAATCGTGGACGACAACAATGACTACGACGAAGACGATCTCGGATACTATCCCGACGGGGTCAAGCGGACTTTGACGGACGAGCAGATCGAGATCTTCAGACATAGCGAGATTCATACGCTTCTTCGGGAGAAGCAGCTACGCGAGGAGGCTCTTGAGGCGGCAAGGGAGGAAGCGAAAGCAGAAGAGGAGGCCAAGAAGGCGACCGAATCGCACAAGTTGGCGGCCTCTGACGCGGGCATGAAAGAGCCTACGGATCATACTGAGCGCGCTGATGGCCGCGAGGCTGCGGATTCCGTGCTAGACTACGGTGAGGATGCTCCTGTTGCGAATGCGCCGAAACGGGCCCGGCCGGGATATGCGTCTCAGTTTGCAGGGCGGAGAATCATCTCGTACGATGACTGAGGATTGGATGGGTGTCTTTCAACGGACTTCGAGAATGTGGTGCCCTGCATTCATCACAGACACCTTGTTGGTCTAGTAGGAGTAGACCATGGATTGACTACTGAGAAGGCGATGCCTCGGTATATTTGTCTTATGGTAAGTCTTGTCATATCTCTATCAGCCCTTGTGATGAAACTTTTCGTATCAGTCATCCTTAGTCGGAGCGCCATACCATTCCACGTGAATGTGTAAGGCTATGACGACTGAAATCTTCTCTCTGAATTGGGCCTTCTTCCACCGAATCTAGTCATTCTTCCTGTGATGGTAGTATGCTAACATCACACCTCTAGCATAGGACGGCACATGGCCCGTAGAGACCAGAGTCTCTTATTCCAGCGAGATCGGTCTCTTCTTGGGAACTATTGCCCAGAGCAAGCCGATTCCAATCAACAAACCCACCATGATGGGTTGCAACACCTGCACGCCAGCCTGGGAGGCGATGGCACCCGTCATGAACGGGAACGCAGCAGCGCCGGCTTGGCCCAAGCTGGCGGTGAAACCTGAAATACGATTAGCCAGACGCAGTCAGTTTTTGAGCTAGATTCACGAACCGATTGCTCCGATATGAAGTTCCTGCGGAAGAACTTCCGTGAGAACATATAATCCGACCGGGTAGAACGGACCAATGAAGAAACCTATTTTGTCACACAGCATTCCGTTAGACGGATCTTGATCCTTCGGTAAACGTCAACTGTTCCGATAACATACCTAACAAGCAAATCGTAACCGCGTTCACCGGGATACTGGGAATCAGCCAGAACAGCAGTTGCATGATCAATGCCAGCACGGTGTAGATGAACACCATCCGCCGTTCTCCGAACTTGTGCGTGATGTCTGCCAGAACCACTCGACCGATCGTAAACCCGGACCAAAAGCCGGAGGCAACGTAGCCCATTTTCTCCAAATCGCCATGTCGAACCGTCACGAGGAACTGCACCAGCCAGCCTATCACCAGAGTTAGCCTCACATCCACCATCAAACCAAAGCAAAGACAGGGGAAAGGGGGAAAAGAAAACCTACCCCCAGACGCCACCTCCGCACCCGCATACAAAAAGAAAAACCCATTCAGAATCCAAACCGCCTTACTGCGCACCACAGCGCGGAACTCCCCATCAGCGGTATCCTTCGCCGACGCAACATTCGGCCTAAACAGCCCCTTCCAGAAAGTCCCCACCAACAACACCACATTCACGACCCCCAACGCCATCGTCACGAGATAATAATGATGCCACTCGGGGGTCCGCGACGCAATCGTACTCGCGATCAACGGCGCAATGATTGTGCCCCCACCATACACGGCATGGAGGATGCCGAGCCATCGGTGCGCGTTCTTGACGGTAATGGTGAATGCGTTGGCTTGGGCGTCTTGAAACGCGACTCCCATGCCGGTGAGGAAGAAGGCGCTCATAAACACCGGGACGGGAGGATGCCACCACATCAGCGCGTAGCCGAGACATTGGATCGCTGCGCCCAGGACGAGGGTCCCGCCGGTGCCGATGCGCGCGCAGATGTGGATGTTTGCGAAGCAGGCGGTTACCCAGCCGGTGAAGTTTACGAGGTAGACGAAGGAGACGGTTAGGAGGTCGATATTGTAGGTTGGTTGCATGTAGGGGATTAGGACGCCGGTGGCAGCATCTGCTTGACAGTCAGGATGTTGCATCTAGGTATAGAATGAAGAATGTCGAAGAGAGAAGGCCGGCGGGGGGCGTACCATTCAAACCAGCCAACAAAACCGCGAAATTCGTGCTAATGATCTTCCCCAGCACCTGGCTTGCTTCTTTCTGATCGAAGAACCTTCCATCTTCCTCCACATCCTCTTCCTCGTCTGGCTTTGCTGCTATCGCGGGAGACTCCGCGTCTTGCGAAATCGTCCCATAGTTGACGTCCCTGGTCATAATCGAGTAGAGTAATAAGTAGTCTTTGATCTGATACAGATCGACAACTCAGTATCGACAGTATAATATAATATAAATATAATATAAGTCGTAAGTATATTATAAACTACAAAAGAAAAGAAAAAAACCAAAACTTCACTCCGTCGCGAGAACGAAAGACGGAGAAGGCGAGAGGGCGAGAGAAGTGTCTAATCCCAATCTACAGAGACGGACTCAAAGAAAACCGAGCGGAAAGAAAAAGGATGAAAAGGCATATATACTTCTTCTTGCGCCCCGCACCGAACGGGAAAGAGACCGGGCACTAAAATGTAAAATGGGCATCGCGTGAGACCGGAGACGGTGAGACATACTCCGTTCACACCACCTCTACCAATCTACGGCACACCGACTCTCTCTCTCATGCTCCGTAAGCATTCATCATATCATATCCCGTCCAACTAGCTTACTACGGAGTAGCTAGTTAGCTGGTAGCTAAGAGACCAGAGTAGGGTAGTATGGAGTAGTGGAGGGGTAAAAAGTGGGATGCAGAACGTGAGGGTTAGAAAAAGAAATATGGGGGAGGTCCAAGCGAAACAGAAACAGTCTTGGCTTGCGCTCTCGCTTGCAGCGGCAGGTCTAAACAATCCCAATCCTCCCGGTCCTCGGTGGGTGTATGTGTGTTCTGGTTTGGTTTACTTGCATTGTAAGGTTGCATTGATCGATCGACCTGCTGGCTTATTTGCCTTATCGAGGTTAGTGGGGAATTACAGGAGCAGAAGGAACAGGTAGTTATAGTTAGGTTGCCCGATTGTGTAACTTGATATACGGTATATTCTTGAGCCCCAATGTCTGGTCTTCGTGTGTGCATGATGGCAGTATCTCTTCTCACAAGTTGGATGAATGCCAATGGACGGTACTACCGTAGGTGTACTCCACACGCGCATTGGCATTAGGTATGGGGTCTCCAGGATCCGGCAAAATGTCGGCTATTTAGCGGTTCGGATCCCGTCTTCCCCGACAGTCCTGTTTCCCAACTACCCTGGGCGAATTCCTGAGGTCAACGGCGAATACACATAGGTAAGGGCGAAAATATCTGGTGAGTACTTCGTAGTAGGACTGAGACCGACGAAACCATGTAAGGGGATGTGATGAGATGGAGGGCGGGGGAACGGCTGTTGATTCAGCTATGTAGACGGAGTCAGTACTCCACGCTTCGACAGATCTTGGAAAGTCAAAGTCAAAGTACAAGTTGCACGGACTACTGATATCGGAAGACTCGAAATGGGCATCGGTTTTGATTCCCTTTCGGTTCAGCTTGTGCGCGACCGCTGGAGTCATTTGTGTAGACGTTCTAGGTGAGGGGGGTTACTGCGAGGGCTATTATTCTTGTATAAGTATAAAAAAATCTGTAATATTAATTTATGAATTTTAGAAAGGCTAGAATATTGCAAATAATCTCTAATATCAGCTATTTCTAAATAGTAACTACTCGCAAAAATCTATCTTAAATCTACTAAATATAATAATATATCTTAAAAAGTTAATCTTCTGTATTGTGAATATATACTTACTTTGCTTATAGTAAGATCCTATTTCGTATAATTAGTGTGGAAGATTCCGGTAACTGCATGAAAAATGGAGATTTCCGTCTTCCTGACCACGAGATCCTGCATTCGAGCCGTGAAGCTCCGGTATGGTGAAAGTGGAGGATTCCATTGATTTCATCACTGTATTGCATATAAAGAGGCTCTCCTTTTCATGTAGATAGATCATCATCAGAATAATCAATTTTCAATTCATGAAGTTCTTGATCACCTTTACTGCTTCTAGTACCCAGTATTCCAACAGGTTATGAGCCCGGCAACGCTTTAGTGTGCTATTCGATTAATTTATCGACAAGAAGCAGATATATCCGGAAGCCATATCTTTGGCAGGATAAGATATCTTAGAGGTTATAGTTTTGATTCTAGAATAGAGGACATCATCATCGATATGGGGTCTTCAAAAAAATATTCAGGATCTCTATTGAGAGGGCCTGATTCCTTTCATGCATGGGCCGCAGCGCTTAACACAGAAGTTCGCTATCGCGAAGTCTATTTTGTCGCTTCAGGTGAGAAAAAGAGACCCGAGATGTCTCTTTCTAAAAGAGAAGAAGTTGCAACAGTCGAAAAACTCAAACAGTTCGAAGTGATGCAATATCAATGGGACGAGAAGAATTCCAAAACCATCGGCGTCATCTTCAAAACGGTTTCTAAAGAGATTAAACAAATGTATCAAGGTTATACAAACGCGGCAGAGCTTATTGCTGCGTTCAAAAAGAAATACGATACTATCTTTAATGTACAGTCTTTTCAAAACCTTCGGCAAGCTGCCACCACTAAGTTTGACGATTGTAAAGATATAATGGATTATTTTGGGAGATTGAAGATTGCATTTGAGCAATTTGCAAGAAATTTGAGTATGGATTTGAAGCTGAATGATTCCATGAAGGCTCAGTTTGTATTCATGGGACTTGAAAAAAAATGAAATATCTTTTTGATCTTTTATTTTCATTCCAAATACGACTGCAATAAGATCATCTTCGAGGATCTCTCTGACGCCTTATTCGAGGAAGAATTTTGCATGAAATATAACAATGAAGCTGCGAATCTTATAAAGGCGCAAAAAGCGAAAGCGAACGAGAAGAAGAACAAGGATTCAAAAAATTCAAAAGATTCGAAAAAGGAGTCATAAAAAAGTCAAAATCAAGGTTTTCGGTATCCCGATTGTTTCTGTACAAAATGCGAGAGACATGATCATACAATTGATTATTGTTGGATCAAACATTCTAAAAAAAAGTCAAAAAACTGGAAAAGAAAGAAGAATGAAAAAAAAGAAGAATCTTCCAAATGTCTCGAAGATATCATTTGCACTGTTCAATCAGTTAATGAATCGATCGATTTTGATTTCGAGAAAGTTCATCTTTTTTAACACGATGATTGAATCATCAATTCTGGTTCAATCTATCATTTCACTGGCAAAATGAATTATTTCATTTCTAGAACTGTGAAACAGTTGCATAGAGCGATTCGCATTGTCATCGGTTAGATTACTTATTCGATGCTGTCAGGTGACGTGAAAATGATTCTGAAACATTTGGATTGTGTGAGAAAACTCATTTTCATTGATATTCTCTATTTGTCAGAGATAAAGATCAATTTCATTGAAACGATCAAATTGAATCGAAAAAGTTTCGATGTCAATCTTCTGTCAGAAGAAGTTGTGATCATGAGAATAGAAAATAAAGTCATTGTGAGATATAAAGACATTCAAAATAACATCTATATCATGAGAATTGTCAAGAATGACACACTTCAAATCTTTGAAAATCTCGCTTTAAGCGATTGCGAATTGCTTGTTGATAGTGATGAAGAAACAGTTTAGAATACGACATAGAAAACATTTCGAAATGATCATGAAGTCATCAAAACATGTTGTTAGCGCTGTACGATTTATTATTACACGATTTCGAAGGCAAGAAATATGAAGAAGGAACGGGTCAATTTACGCACTTGGCATAGGCGATTCGCGCATCTTTCTATGGCTAATGTTAGACGTCTTTCACGAATGGTTAAAAAACTCAACATTGAGGGCCTTTCTATATCTAAACACGCGTGTGATCTCTGCTTGAAGGCTGTAGCAACAATCCGAAATGAACAGAAAGTCATGATTTCTGCAAAGGCGCGAAGTGATCGTGTTTTCGTTGATTTAGAGAGTGGCCATTTTGATATGCCGCCTGCCTTCAACAACGGTGTGAAATATTGGCTCTTATTCTTTGATTAGTACATTAAATATTGCACGGTCATGTTTCTCAAGACGAAAGATCAATGTTGTATGGCGATTCAGGCCTACGTTGATGAAGAAAATTATGCGAAATTCTCAATTATTCGTCTTCATAGCGACAACGGCAAAGAATTTGACAATGCTGATCTTCGAGCATAGACAAGGAAGCGAAATATTCTATGGGAATTCGCTGTACCTTACGTTCACAGTCAAAACGGCTTTATTGAAAGACTTTCAAAGACCATTTTCACAAAGATCCGTGCCGTGTTAATTGATAGCGGCCTGTTTCGAGAGCTATGGGCAGAGATAATGAAAACAATGGTTTTTCTTTGCAATATCTCGCCTGTTAGAGAGAAAGACTTGACATTTTATGAAATCCGTAATTCTAAGAAGCCGAATGTGAAGAGTCTCAGAGTAATTGACTGTGAAAATGCGGTGACTGTTTCATCCGAGATTCGTTTTAAAAAAGGAATCACAAAAATTGATTCATGTGCATACACGGTTAAATTAGTCGATTATAACTCTCTTGGAAAGCAATACATCGTGTGGAAAGCTTCAACAAATGATTTTAAGCATATTAGAAATATCAGATTCAATGAAGGGTCAGATCCTGAAATTTATGAATTTTCAGATGACAATTACAACAAATAGAAAAAGCTTTTACCGGTACAAGCGCTAGAACGAAATCTTTATGAAATTGCTTCTGATAGCGATTCTGAAGATGAGCTTTTTCAATGTATGGTTGTTGAACCCGAGATCAATGATTTCATCAATTGTTTGGTTGAAGGTTTGCCAAAGTCGTTTCGAAAGATGGCCGTTCACATATTTTTTATGAGCCATTTTTTCGTCAGCGAATATCGCGGTGATTATGATAGAATGATCGAATCCTTTTCTTATGAAGAAGTCATAACATCTCTCCATAAAGACAAATGGATGGAAGCCATGAAATTGGAGATTAAAAATCTTGTCAAACGCAAATTATGGCTTCTTATCAATTTATCGGATGACCGAAAAACACTTTGCGGGCGTTGGGTTTACAATTCCAAAATAGATATCAATAATCATATCTCACGATTCAAGGCAAGATGGGTAGCAAAAGGCTTTATGCAATGATATGAAATCGACTTTTGGGAAACATATTCTCTTACTGCGCGTTTTGTCACCGTTCGCATTTTCTTCGCGATTATCGCCATCTTCGATTACGACTGCCTTCAAGGAGATATTAAGCTCGCGTTTTTGTAAGGCAATTTCTTTGACGATGAGATCATCTATGTGGAACAGCCAAAAAGGTTTGAAGATGGCAGTAAGAAGATCTGTCAGTTCCTTTTGTTTTTTTACGGTTTGAAGCAATCCGCAAGAGCATGGTTTCTCACGTTTCGTGCCAAAATGGTGGAGATAGGTCTCTATCCCTCTCCTGCAGATGAATGCCTTTTTATCAATGGTGCAGACACTTTCTTGATTCTACATGTGAATGATTCATTGCTCAATGGATCTTGTGAAATCGTCGAGGGGGTGTGTGTAGCAATTAATAATGCATTTGACGGCGCTCACTTTCAGGAGGCTGCTTATTATCTCGGAATGAAAATAGAAAGAGATCAGCCAAATCGGAAGATCAAGTTAATTCAATCTGCATATGTGCAGTGCGTGTTTGACAATTTTGACCGTGACTCGAAAAAGACTTCATTCATTCCAATGCATGAAGGCGTTCATCTCTCTAAATCAATCTCAGAATAGTCTAATTTTACATTGATGAAACGCTATCAGAAACTGTTAAAATCATTGATGTATATTATGTTTCAAACGCGCCCAGAGATGTCATTTTCAGTCGATCATCTTATACGATTTGCGTCAAATTTTGACAACTCGCATATGAGGGAATTGACGCATTTGTTGCGTTATTTCCGTTCAACGATCGATAAAAATGTTGTATTCTAAGCGCTTTCGGAGGACGAGAATGAAGAGAATAAAGAAATCCGCAATTTCAAGCGTTTAGGGATCTTGAAAAACTACGTGAATGTTGATTTCAGCGGAGACCTTGACACAAGGCGGTCCATTACCGGCTTCGTTTTTACGCTTGGTGAAGGGCCCATTTCGTGGGTCTCAAAGCTTCAAACGACCGTGAGCTTGTCCACGTGTGAAACTGAATATACAGCAATCAATATAACAGACAGAGAAGCTCTCTGGCTTACTAATTTGCTTGAATCAATGGGCTTTGGAGGAGTCAGGCCGATGATCATTTACACTGATTCTGAATCAACAATAAAACTTGCCAAGAACGTTCAAATGCATGCTCGAAGCAAGCACATTGACATTCGCATGCATTGGACTCGTGACGCGATTCAGAATGGCGATATTAAGCTTCATTATCTCTCTACGAAAAAAATGATCGTTGACACATTCACAAAGCCGCTTCCGAAGATGAAGTTTGATCAACACGTCAAGGCCATGAATGTTGAATGATCTCTACTGCATGTAGGCCTCTTGATGATAAACAACGGTGTTCAAAGCTCTGAATAGCTGCATCTCGAGGGGATGTGTGGAAGATTCCGGTAACTGCATGAAAAATGGAGATTTCTGTCTTCCTGACCACGAGATCCTGCATTCGAGCCGTGAAGCTCCGGTATGGTGAAAGTGGAAGATTCCATTGATTTCACCACTGTATTGCATATAAAGAGGCTCTCCTTTTCATGTAGATAGATCATCATCAGAATAATCAACTTTCAATTCATGAAGTTCTTGATCACCTTTACTGCTTCTAGTACCCAGTATTCCAACAATTAGCAAAATATCTTACAAACGTCGACCTCGCTGTCGGGGCCTTTGCCGAGTACGTCGGAGCCACGGCGGACATTCTGGCGGCCATTCCTCCGCACTTGTCATTTAGAACAGAACCCAGGAACACATCTCTGCCTCATTATATAGAGCACACCAGTAGCCCAAGTTCTCCGAGATGCAAATACTTCCGACCCCGATCACGACTGTAAATAAGCAACGAAGATATCAAACCCTGTTCATTGTCCGAGACTCGCCGATCCGGCCCTACTTGATGGAAAATGTCTCCGATATAAGAACCAACTAATTTATAACAACCATATGTATACATGTCCTTATCTTCTCAAAACAACCTAACCCAACATGTATCAATTCTTCCCATCCTCCTTCTTCAACTTCGAGTTCACGCGAATCCTCGGCACAATCACCTTTGGGGGCGCCGAGCTCGCCGAATGCCTCGACGCAGCCGTGCAAATCGCCAACGATGGCCCAGAGAGCTGGTACTGGGGCTAGATCACGGATGGGATGTTCGATGCGACGTGGTGGGCGTTGTCACAGTGGAATTTCCAGCTCAAGTGGGAGCTGACTCACGTTATGTGGACTTTTGGGAAGAAGTCGCCGGCCGAGGCGATGCGCGAGATGCAGAGGTATTCGTTGAAGGGTGATGGGGAATTATCTTCGTCAGGTGAAGTGTGCGGTGATGATTAGTGGAGCCGCGCAGACGATTTACACTGCGCCGGAGATTAGTACGTTGAGGATCGAGCAGGCGTTGGATCATTTCGAAGGAGACCGGAGATGGTGGGCTGCAAGGGAAGGTCGGTGCGTGGCGTCTTCTTCAGCAGCGTTTGTTCCAGTTCTTGGATGAGCAGTGGGATGTTAAACGGAGTATTGAAGTTATACAGGGTTAGGCAGAACCAGAAATGTCAAGTGTCGATCGTTTAGCTCAGTACTATTAGCTAAATTGCGAGTACTGAGCAGAATTCTGAGAAAAGGTCCTCGCTCTATAGACGCACCATCCAACCCTTCCTTCCTCGCCAACTTCGCCTTCCTGACAGGCTTACAGGGCACCAACGAAAAACAACAGGCAAGTTCAAAAGCATCTGTCCCTGCCTCTAACAACACGGCTATCCTGAACGCGATTCATGAGCCCCCAAAGTTCTATCCGAACCCTCCTTTGCGTCCTTCTCCTTCTCTTTCAGCCCGTAATCCGTCTCCAGATGCGACCGCAACTTGATATTCTTCTGCAAGAAGGTGAGCAGGAACGACAACCCCGTAAAACCGATGGACACCTGCCACACCACCCGCAGACTACGCGTATACACATCGATAGTCTCAGCTCGCACCCGGGCTGGGAGCGCATTGATGGTCGCACCCGAGGCGTAGGCATACGCATTGCCCCCAGAAAACAAATCACGTACCGAGCTATCGCTGATCGACGAGGCAAACTTATCGAATTGATTGTTAAAGATAGCTGCGGGTACCGCGAGACCCCAAATCATGCCGAAGCTGCGGATAAAGGCCCAGAGAGCCGTGGAAGTGGCCGCGTCTTTCTCCTCGAGTCCAGCCTGGACCGCGGGCAGAAGAACGGGCATAATCACTCCACCGCCGAACGCAGCGACCATTTGCGTTAACGTCCACGCTGCGGTGGAAGAGCCGGGGCCCAGTATTGTGAAAGTGCCAAGGCCGATAGTAAGGAGAGCAAAGCCGACGATTTGGAGTACTCTATAATTACCTGTCTTAGAGAGAATTGCGCCCGATACTCCGGCGATAGGAATCATAGAGATCACGGTCGGGAGAAGCTGCACGCCGGAGCGCTCGGGAGAAGATTGTAGGACAGCCTGAAAGTAGACCGGAAGCATATATAGAATCCAGAAGCTGACGAGGCCGTGTATAAAGGTGTTCAAGAACGCTATAGTGGAAGTGCGGTTGCTAAACAGTCGCAATGGGGTGGTCGGCTCTTTAACAAGCGGAGTACCTTGAAGGAAGATAAATGCTGGAATTCCAAGGAGACCGATAAGTAGAGGTGCGAGAACGTGGCCTGAGGACCAGGGGTAACGAGTGCCGCCCCAGCTAAGCGCAATCAGAATAGACACGATTGCGCTAATCAGCAGCAAGTTTCCGAAGAAATCTAAGCGCTTCAGCTTCTCCTTAACCGACATCTCGCGGTTATAGTTCACTTGTAGGAAGAGGATCAGCAGAACCAGACCCGCGCCTCCAATCGGAAGGTTAAGGTAAAAGACCCATCGCCAGGTAGTGTTGCTAACAATAGCACCGCCAATAAATGGACCCAGTGATGTGCCGATAGCAAAGAAGACAAACATCAGTCCAATATATGCGCCTCGCTGCGCTAAGGGAACCAGGTCGCATACGATAAGTTCGATAAGCATTTGAATTCCACCTCCTCCAACGCCTTGAATCCCACGGCCAATAATAAGCATGGCCGCGCTCGAGGCACCTCCACAAATACCACTACCGACGATAAAGAAGACGACGGACGAGATCATGGGATATCGGCGACCGAAGACATTAGAGAGTTGTCCGTAGAGCGGCTGGAAACATGCTCTATAGAGGGCCAATTGAATTAGTTTCTGTAGTATTCAATAGTAAACTTGCGCAATAAAGACATTTCACGTACGTAGTTAAAAAGTAGACGTTAGATACCCATGGGTAATCTTGGCCAACGCGGAGCTCAGCGACAATGGTAGGAAGAGCAGTAGACGTGACGGTTCCTTCGAGAGCAGCCAGCAAGGAAGTCACACACAGCGCAGCAAAGACCAACCAAAACCGGATATCAGGTTTGAAGGTAGACCTTGGCTCGTCCGAGATCTCGGCTGGTGGTGTATCAGCTGTATGAGCCGGCTCGGGAGAACTGTTCTTGGTTTCCATCATGTTGCTCGGTGGACCGCAAGTCGGAGTGCACAATGGTAAATAATTTCGATCTCTTGCGCTTGGTAAAAAGAGAAACAGAGGAAAGACGGCGAGAAAGCCATTTCCGCGGTCTTTTTGAGCTGTTCGGAGACATTTTGCAGAGCTGTTGATTCCGAGTCCGAAGCCGACGCAAGTGCAAAATGTCACCGAACTCGCTGCCCCAGGCATCGGCCTCTAGCCTGTCTTCAGACTTCACCATCCGGCTTACAGCAATTGCTGCTTGGTGTGAAGCTTCAAATAAATGAGATAGTAATCCATCATAACAGAAAAGTTCCTGCGACGAATTAACGTAAAGGTACTGTTTTAGACCGCATACTTTTGGTAGACGAACACTCGTAGCACTCTATATAGTAAGGGGCTCATATGCCCTATAACGTGCTAAACAATTCAATTTAACTTTACGGATGTATTTATGCGCACATGCTCAGCCAATCACCCCCTGTGCGATATCGTACTGCGTGGCGTGGCATACATATATTTGACTCATACTTTTATCCGTGCATAATTATTCCCCGTACCCTAGAAGTAGAATTTGTGCCGGTACCAGGATTTAAACCCGTAGCCTCTAGAGAATCAAGATAGGTCCCTAACTAACTTGGTATCTAAGGAGCCTGCCTGGTGACGCATCTACCGTTGAGCCACCTACCGGCTACTCTTTCCATTTACAGCCCCAAAAATTCTCTCGCCTCGTCCTTATCATCCCTACAGACAGGTATCATCAATACACTTCCGAATCTTCCTGGCCAGCATCCGCGACGGCGCCAACCGAGCCGCCCGCCCCCCAATCGAACCCATCCCGTCCGGCATGGCAGGTCCGCGCCCACTGCGGGCCTCCTGCTGCGCCAGGGCCTCTAGAATAGACATATAGGTCCCGGGAGCGGACAGGAGATGCCCTGCGCCTGTCAACAGAATCTCGACGCCGCGGTCGATGCGCTCAAGCAGATCGCAGCTCAGCTGCAGAAGCGTTCTAATCTGCTGCACACCGTCGAGTTTCAGCGTCGGCCCGTCTAAGTGCACGTTAAAGGGGGCTGAGCCCGATAAATTGTCCAGCACGGCGAGTGGGCCTGTTAGATCGCCGACGGGCGTGTATTGTGCGACTAAGGACCGAATGGTGGCGTGTAGGTCGGTGAGAACGCTGCGGTGCAGACGGATGAAAAGCACGTGGCAGGTTGTGAGGGTCAGACAGATGGGGAATTGAGTCTGGCACTCGGGTGGGAGAGCTGGGTGTGATCTTTGAAGTTTTTTGTCGGGTTGGCTGTTGCTGCTCTTTTCCGGGCGTCCTCCAGGCCAGGCTCGATTGCGGCCTGTACTGAATCTGGCAGGGGATGTGGTTACCGGGTTATCTAGGGTTGGTAGGGTAAACCAGGATGAGGTGTCGTGAGTTGAGGCTGAAGACGGGCGATAGTTGCTATGATATATGAGCTCGTCCTCGTCGTCCTTGTCGCCCGCATCGTCCGAATCCCGGGACCAGTCAGTGGCGGCTTGGTCTCTGGTTGGAATGCTGCAGACGCATTCGCGATGGGAGGTGACGAAGGATTGGATAATTTCGAGGAAGGTTTGTGAGCAGCGCATCATCTGGTGCATTGGATGGTCACTCTGCGTGTTTGTAATGTCGGACAGGCGCGAGCCGAGAGAGTGCGTGTCGGGTGAGAAGTCATTAGTGAAGGCCGCCTGACTTTCGATGTGATATACGTGTTGAAGGAGTGTGCTATGGAGCTTCCACATGCGCTCGATATTCTGCTCCTTAGGGCTAACGGTTGGGAAGTCGGTCGAGCCAACTACGTCGGGCTGTAAATTTGTGGCCAGATCGGCGAAATCAATTGTGTCGAATACATTCATATTTGGGAAATTAAGATCATAGGCCATAGTTCCGTGGTCGAAGTTCGGATCTGGCAGCTCATTTATCGCATCCATTCCGGCCATGGCGAGGTCGGGCGGACAGGAGGGCAGGTCGGAAGAGTCCGCTCTGGTCTCGTTAGATCGCATTTCATCGGACTTCTTACTCGACGTGCGGCGATAACGAGGTTTATGGTTCAGAGAACGTGGTCGACCCATAGGCATGGTAGCGCCGATAACACAAGTCAGGTTATTTCGAGCGCAGCGATCGCACGCGATCGACGGATCGGTGTGTGTCGTCCGATCACAGCGGAGCTTCTGACTGCGACACCGATCACAGGCGTGACGGCGGACTGGCTTGGGATTCCGACTTCCAGCATCTAAATCACCCTGTGGTGTAAGGGGGTTCATTTTCAGTCCAGGTAAAGTTTGATAGAAACTGGATGGATTGACGGGCTGATTGGAGTCTGAAATAAGCCTTGGGGAGGAAGTGAGGAGGCTGAGATCTGCCCTAGGACTACGTATGATCTAGTGGTTTTACTAGTACTGGCCATCAATTATTGTTGGAGTCCGAATATGTGCGGGGTTATGGTACCACTGCAATGAATAAGAAAAAAACTGCTAGTTAAGATATAAATTATCAAGATTATTTATTTAGAGCATTTAGTTTTCTGCTTACCCTGTGCTCGGTAATCGTTTTAGATTGCTCAGAATATGCTCAGGTCTACTTAGTGAGTGAAAAGCGGCGAGGGATAAGTATTGAAATAAAAGGAGAAAGCTTTTGAGCTGTCTAGAAAATCAAGTATATGTACCTACAAGCATTTAGGCCCGCGCATTCGCGCGGGCTCATGTAAATGATCAACCAAATAATCTTGTCATGGAATAAACAAAATCATCTGTCCAATTGTCATCATAAAGATTTTATAAAAAAAATCAAAACAATACAATATCTTTTTCATTACATAATAAACTTATAAAAACATTTTAAATAATCATTAACGAAATGTAAAAACAAAAAAAAAAACAATGCAAAGATTATCTAATCTAATTTTTTTTAATATAATTCAAAAACAGATATTATGTTGGATCTTTTGAGATTTGTGACAAACAAAAATAAATTTGAAATGAAACAACGAACAAAGAAAAAATTGTTAGTTAAAATATAATTTATTGAGATTATTTATTCAAAACATTCAATTTTTCGTTTATCTCATATTTAATGATCGTTTTAGATTGCTCAGAACGTGCTCAGAATGTGTTCAAATCTATTCAGTGAGTAAAAAGCGGCGAGGGATGAGCACTAAAACGGAAAGAGAAAGCCATCAGTCTGGCTAGAAAATCAAGTCCGTATTAGAGTGGGCAAAGGGGAGGGTAGGTCAGGTTACAGGCCTCATCCATAACCTGACTGCCGGTTAACGGTTAGATTAGAGGGTTCATCTTTATCTGCCCAAGGTATAAAAAAAAACGCGACGGTTAACCGGATTAACCGTTTTTGGTGCCAAGTAACATGCATTTTATTTATTCGGACCTAACTCAATTAAAGATAGATAACAATTAATCACAGTTAATTTAATTATTTTAATCGATCTTTTAGAAATCCATATCAGCAACTTTTTTTAATTTTGAAAAAAATATAATAAATAAAGAAGATTGTTTTCTATTTTAATCTGTTTGAAAAAAAGACATTATCTATAATGCGGCTAATATAAATGTGATTTTTTTTAAATGATTGCTATTATTTTAAGATACAAAATAGAAATATATAATAAGTATATATCTTGTTTTGCGTTATCAGTATTAAGTTTGGATTTCTAGTATTATCATTGTTGTAGATATTAAATTAATAATGTGTAACAATAGTATTATAATTTATATCTATTTTTTATATTAAAATATCTTATTTATCATATATTATTTTTAATTTTTAATGTTTTTGGTTTTCTGGACTGGCATCCGTGTGATTATTAGATATTCAAGTTATAAATGTTATTTTAATGTGTATATGATATATCATTTTAAATTGTGTTTTGTGACGCGTTTTTTTTATTTGTTTATTCAATATTATATTTTTTGAAAATCTTTTATTTTCATTTTTCAATATCTATGTCATTTTCAATGAATTATTTTTTATTATAATAAATCTATCATATCCAATTAATCTGGGTTCTCAGAATATTATTATGTCATTTTTTTTTATTTCACAGATTTTTACGAATGACAAGATTCTAACAGAGATTGACAATTTTTTATTTTTTTTTTATTTTTTGATTTTATTTTTATACATTTCTTCAAAGGCCAAAAGGCCATTCAATATTTAAAAAATCTAAAAAAGATTATTTTCTTTAAAAAATAATAAAATGTTATTTTCTTTGCCGAAACACAAAGAAAGATTAAAAAATCATTAATTTAATTTGATTGAAAAAGGTCATCAATTTAATGAAATAAATTTTACAAAACTACAGAATTTTTTGATAGAACTTTTTGTGTCTTATATGTTTTTTGTTTTTATTTATTTCAACATTTATCAGTTAAGAATTTCGAGATTAAATCAATGTTTTATCATGTTTGAAAAGATTATAAAAAGAAGTTTTCTTTTATTACATTTAAACGAATCATCACTCAAATGTTAAGTGAACCATTGATAAAGTATTTTTTTTGATTATAATGAATTATATTAATAATATTTTTTTATTAAAATTCTATAATTATTTTTTTTGATCAAAACTTCTGTGATCAAATCTTTTATTTTTTTTGATCAAAACTTCTGTGATCAAATCTTTTATTTTATTATTGTTTGTTGTTTGTTCTTTCGAATCATTAATATATCTAGTTTAAACGAATAATCAATATTTTTACTGTTTTATTATCTTATAAATCAAAAATTCTAAATCGAAAACAAATTAAAAAAAGATTAATCAAACTATCAAATAAAATACATATACAGTTTTTTTCATAATTTTTACAGTCGGATAAGATGTCAATTATAATTGATTGTTAGACAAACCTGAATTAAAAAACATTTCTTGCTTTAACAAGATATTTTTTAACAGAAAATATGAATTATTATAAAATCATTTTGGATTTTTGATCAGTATTTGATTTTCATATAAATGAAATTCTTGCTAATATTGTATTTTTTGTTTTTTATAAACATAATCTATGTCATCGTTTATTAAGTGTGACAACGAACAATACAAATAATAATGATATTCTTTTCTTTTTTTTTATAAAATAACTTCACACACAATTGAATGAAAATATCTAATTTCAGGATACTATTATCGATTCCGAATTTTTTAAAATCATTTGAAATTAATATCATATCTTTTATCTTGTTCATGTTATTCAATTTGTTGTTATCTTCTTTATGAGTAAATTACAGATTACAATTGAGAATGATATTGTTTCTTATGTATAAGATTATGATGATGAAGCATTGAAATCATCTAATGATATTTTACGAATTATTGAAAAGGTATTTAATCTTCTTAATAAATCCTTTAATATTGATATAAATCTTATAAATTTCTCTAATCTTTTTAGATTCAAAAAATCGTTAAATTCGTGAACGTTAGCTCTTAATATCGAGAAAGATTCCAACTTACACAATGCCTTGAATCTGAATTCATATATTATCTTCTTCTTGATTGTAAAACCCGATAGAACTCTATCTATTTTATAATTTAAAAAGCACTAAAACTTCATCAATCAATTAAAAGTTTCATTTAACATTGAAATAGTCAAAATATTAACCATTTTCGCTCTACATCAATTGAATAAAAGTAATTGAAATATCTTTTGAAATTTCTTTATCTCTTTTACATCTTTATCTTTTGTCTTTCAAAAAATACTGGTCCGATTATTCATAAGATCTATAATATTTATAACGATCTGTTTAATTATCTAAATCTTGCAATCAATCGTTTTCGAAACAAACAAATCTCTTGAAAACAATAAATTCTTAAAGATTTAAAAAAAATCCATAAAAAGTTTCGAAAATATTATCGACAAATATATCAAGTAACAAACTATATTTATATTATTATAATCATTTTGGATTTTACATTTAAGTTTAAGAAATTCAAAATTGTTATTTAATTAAATGACGATGTTGATTGATATCAAAAGTATTAAATGATTTTTGAGAAAATCTTTTATTATTATCGCGACAAAAATCTTAGTGTAAACACATTATTGATTATTTTAGATTTATTGTTTAATTTAAATAAGATCTTTTTTTATCTTTTAAAATGACAAAAATTTGTATTTTTTATAGAGATCTTTGAGAAGTTTAAGGTTTATCTTGATGTTGAAAATAAATAGTTTTATTGATAAATTTATGTTTTTATTTTATTTATTGATAATAAAATATTATAAATCAAATTGATATTATTATTTATTGGCAATCTTGTCGAAACCAATTTTCGATCTTTTATTATATAACAAAAAATTTTCTAACAATCGCAACAAATAATGTTAATATTAAATATTTCTTCAATAATTTTTAAGATATTTGTCACTATTATTGAAGTCGATTACATTCTAATATAATTGAAATTATTATATTATAGATATGTATCGATTATTTTATTATCAACGAAAAATATCATGATATTTTTAATGAAATTGATCCAAATTTTATTGTTTTTGTTTTTAAAAAAGAAAATGATGATATGAATGATACTCTTTTTTACATTAATGATGACGAGGATATAGATAATCTGAATAAAAATCCAAAGAATGAAACATTGCCGAAATTTGTTGAAATCCAACGCATAATTAAAGTAATACAATTATTTCAACATTATGCACGACATTCTGAACAATATAAAAAATAAATATTTAAAAATAAATATTGCTTTTCTTTTATTCTTCAATGTTCGTACTAAAATAAAAAATTCAGATAATGTCATTTTCGAAGCATTCTGAAAGATGAAATCATATTATTGATCACAAGATCATTAATATTGTAAGACAAAAATATATTATTTATTGTAAAATATAGAAAATAATTAAGATATATTAATTATTGATTAATCTGCAATATTTAATCTAACTATTTTAATCTGATCTATCTCACCGACGGTTAATGGGAAATAAGATAGACCCTGTCTTTTAACCTATCCGTACCGCGGCGGTTATGAGCACTGTCATACCGTAACCTACCCGAGCGGTTATGGTCAGGTTATGGTTAAGGTACAGCGGTCAGGTTAACCCACTCTAGTCCGTATGTACAGCAGAATATGTGATACCTGTGTAAGTATCTACGCAATAATCAGCACAACTGATAATTTAGGTGAGAGATTTGTTACATCTATTTCTGAGCAAAATGCATATCTGAGACATTGACAGAACAAGCCAGTACTACGTACCTGCGATGGAGGCCCAAAGGACACAGATATCGAACAATCGTCATTCATACTCTTCCGAACCAAACATCTCCAGTAAAATGTGTACCAAATCTACTCCATTCGATGCGCATCCTCCGAAAGAGCCTTGCTTAGCTCCTTCCGCTCAATGCAATTTTTGAACGCAAACGACGCAGCCAGCTCCTCGAGCTCCTCCTCCGACTTACCCTTGAACAACTCCGCATATTCCCACGTTAGGTACTTACTAAGCAGACACTCCCCAACAGCCCGCTCAACCTGACGCTCGAACGTCTACGTAGGAGGGTATTTCTTACCATGGAGATGCTGCGGAACCATCTTCTTCAAGCCGTCAAGGAAAGGATGATACACATCCCGAACACCCTCTTTGTCAGTGCAGCCCCAAAAGTCGACGCCCAGACGCTGTTTCTTGGAAACAAAGTCCCCAACCAATTGCATGTAAGGAGAATCCGGATTCACGTATACCATCCCCTGATAGCCGATGTCTTTGAGGAGCCAGATATTCCAACTGATTTGGCCTTCGGCGTATAGGTTCAATTGCTCTTTTAAAAGCGCGATTCGGCTATCCACGATGTCTTGCACGTTTCCTGGTTGTCTGGAATCCGGATAGACGGGGCCCCATTCGCCATTCCACACTGGAACGTTCCAGTCACGCATGAATCTGATCTTTCGTTCTAGCTGGGCCTTCAATTTGGCTTTCTCGGCCGCCGTGCCGCTGTATAAAGGCTGACCGGGGATCGGGAAGCCCATGGTGGAATAATCGTGGCAGGAGTACACGGCATTGGGAATGACTCGGTCGAAATGGGAAAAGTTCATCGCGTAGGTGTTTCCGTCCAGGAAGAGGATATGGTCGGGATCGACTTCCCGGATTGCAGCGCTGGCTCGATCATACCATTCCAACAAGCCGATATGGCTTGGATCAGCGGGCTCATTGAGCGGGTTATATCCCGCGATGATGGGATCTTTGACATAGTGCTTTGCGATGGCCACCCAGAGGTCAATGATCTGATCCTGGAAGGGTTTGAATTCCCACAACATGGCACGCGGGAGACCACTGTCGCTGTGCCAGTCCTGGTTCTGACCACCAGGCGCAGCATGCAGGTCTAAGATCACCCACAGGTTGTGCTTCCGGCAGATCTCCACCACCCGGTCCAACAGATCGAAGCCGGATTGCTTGAAGACACCTGGGTCGGCCTTGTTGTCGATGAAGTGACGGTAGTTGAACGGAACGCGGATGCAATTCAAGCCCAAAGAGGCAAAGTATCTGGCATCGTCTTCGGTGAAGAAGTGGTGGAGCAGACGATCGAAGAAGTACTGCGCCTTTTCTCTTCCTAGAACCTCCTCCATAGCTCGACGATGCTCGTGCTCGTCCCCCGGATACCCCGTTACGAAATTTTCCATGTTGAGGAAGCCAGCAATCGCGGCGCCCTTCAGGAGTACCCGACGACCCTGAGGATCCACGATGTCGGGGCCTGACGTGTGTAACATGGGACGAGTCTCCCCATTTTGAATTTCAGAAGACATGATATGTCAGGGTATTCGCAGCTTGACTTATATTATTGAGATTCAATCACCACCGGCTCAAAGAAAAGGAATGAGTTGAGGTACAGATCCGTCGAGATAATTGTCCGCTTTTTATAACCAAATATGGACCCATCTTGTGCCCCTCAGCCCTCTCTTAGTTGTTCAACTACCTAACATTTTCATATGAGTATGATCGCAAACCAAAATACTCCAAAGGGAGGTGCCCAAGTCTGTGGGCACGCAACAAATAACGGGATTCGATTGGATGTTTCGTTCTGCGATATTCCGCGATGCCAAGCTAGAGCAAAAAAAAAAAAAAAAAAAAAAAAAAAAAAAAAAAAACAAGGAGGGTACGTAGATCAATAATTCTCGACTTTCTTCCACGCGGACTCGAGGATCTTAGCCAAATATGCACTATCCTCCGATATATCCTTCCAATAAAGCGCCATTTCCAACGCCAAGGAAACGGCCTCGCGCCATCCAACAGGCATCGCAACGCCCGGATCAATCTGTCTATCCAATTGGGATCGAATCGAAAGCGCCGCAGCAATGAGAACCAATGCGCTCCGTGAGCAATTGCGCAGTAAGAATAGGGTTCCATGATGGCGGTGGTTGTATCCCGGTCGGTTGACCCACAGCCGTTCCATGTGCTTCTGCAGGCCTTTCCTCGCAAGGCTGCGCACGAGGTATTGATCTTCTTCTACGAGACGTTCGGCAATGAGGGCATCCACAAAAGGCCAGTATACAACCTCTTGCAGATTGAGAAGGTGTCCGCGCAACACAAAATGACAGACTCCGTCCGCCTCCGGAGGACCCTCTATTGATATCATCTGAGGAAGCCGAAGTGCCCATTCTTCTCCCTGAGACTCGTACATACAAGTAGCGTGGGCTAGCTCGTCGAGAAACCGCCCGGCCGAGGAGGACTTGAAGTTCAATATCCCGCTGACGATACAAGACGTAAGGCGACGGAGGCAGATCTCCGAGAGGTAAAAGTACCATGATAGCTGCTCCCGATCATAGATGGGATCCCCAATGGCTTCCGACTGGTCACTCACGGTCCTCGGCGGGGTCGGGAAAAAAGACGGGTATATCGCCATGTCAGCCGGACACAGGCTAAAATCAGCGATGTCCATCTGCATGCGTAGTTCCCGCTCCGACTTCCAGGAGGACCAGTAGATTGCCTGTTCCAGGGCGAGAGAACGGTGGTTCGGGGCTACCGGCGTTTCCGAGAGATTGGAAACAGGCTGATTATCTCGAGGCAACCGCAGGAACTGAAAGCTTTGACAACACGCCGGTGCATGCAAGAAAAGCTTCCAGGCGCCATCCCGCTCGAAAACCGTCATTGCGTAAACCCCGGCGAAGAAATGACATTGTGCCTCAAGAACCCGATCCGAACCCTCGATCGTAAGTCCTAGGCGTTTCTGCGCAGCTCGAGCGAACGATCTCGCTAGTGGCAAGCAGTCGGAAACAGCCGTGTCCTCTTCGTCCGAGGTGCCGAATGTGGTGGCAATGGCGCCGAGGGCCAGGACAAACAGTGCCAGGCATGAATGGGGGCTCCAATCGAGCCCGTCGGTGCACAAACGAGTCACCAATCGGCGCGTGTCTCTCATCCAAAACCGGATCTTTGACATGAACAAAGCAGAAGAACCGATCCACCAGTGGTCGAATCAGTGAGGGCTGTAAGTCGTCAAGGGAGACGACAGAATCGACATCCGGACCGGCGCGCGTGTTACAAACTACATCCTCCTCCCTCCTGAAGCAGGGCAAATCGAGGACTGGCCAGCGACATATCGTCTCGATTGACGCAGGCAACAGGCGCGATTGATCCACGCTCGCAACTGTTGGCTCGCGTGTCTCATCTGCACTGCGGTGGACATGAGCAGCTAAGCTAGACTGACACTGTTTGAGGGCATCTTCAATATCGTTCAACCTCTCCAGGATCCTGATGCTAGCGGGGTCAAAGCTGGATAGGTCCACCGGGGACTGGATGCAGACTGCACCCACTTTTAGGCAGAATGAACATGATGGCTTCGCGTTGTCGCACTTGGTTCGACGGGCGCGGCATACCTGGCACGCGGTGACGGCACGTTTACGAGGATATGCCGACGTTCCCCGGGGCGCAGGTCGTTTATGGCCAGTCGCTGGTATGGTGAGACTGCTGGGGGGTGAGTTCTCAGGTGGTGAAGGAGGATGTGCCATATCTGTTTGCCCCGCTGTAGATGTAGCAAGGGAAGAGGGTGCGGAATATCGGCAAGGTCGAGAGGGGAAGTCCTTGGTTAGTATACTTTATAGCGCCATCTTACGGATGGGCCCACTCCGATCTCCGACACTCCGCGAGACGCGGGCCACCAATTTTCTGGGGTAAAGACAGGAAAATCCGGGGTCAGACGGTGGTCAATCGGGCCATCTCATCGAGAACAACCAAGATCGAGTCAGTGGATTCAATTTAGACTTCGTTCCAGAGCTCATTAAGCCGATATCAGGCAATGAGGGCTGACGCGCACAAAATCCCCAAGAAGCCTTCTATGGCATCTCTGCCTTTCATGCTTCTCTAACAAATCTTCACGTTCCAAATCATGGGGGACCCTTCAGTCGTCAAAGCGATCGAAAGCAAGGCATCTGTGAATCACATAGAGGATGGTCTTCAAGCACGGCACAATGAAGACCATATGACCCTGGCGTATATGTTCATCCACCACAAGACTCTCATCTTCTGGTCTTTTTACTGGGCAATGTGTCCCGTCGGATGGTACAGTCTTCCTATCTACAGTGTGCAACAGACAATATTAATATACCCATGGTGTTTAGGGGGTTTGATGCACAAATCAAAGGTGCCATGATTGCGGTGGAATCTTTTCGACGCGACTTTGGATACGTTCTGGATGGCGAAGCTATTCTGCCTGCTGATTGGCAATCCGCCTTCAACGTCGCCAGCTCTATCGGTCAGTTCTTTGGTGGCTTCTTCTGCAGTTGGCTGGCCGAGCGAATTGGCCGTAAGAGCTCCTTGGTCGTTGGGCTATGTCTCTGCACAGGCGGTACGTTTGGGGAAGTATTTGCGGGCGTCCGCGTGGCATTTCTCGTGTCGAAGCTCATCCTCGGCGTTGGACTTGGGTTCTTCCTCACCCTTGGCCCTCTTATGTGCAGTGAGATCACCCCAGTCATCTTGCGCGGTCCGTCGACGGCCGGGATCAACCTTGGGATCTGTATAGGCCAGTTGCTCTCTAACTCGGTGGTGAAGGGTTTCAGTCATCGGACGGATCGATGGGCATATGCGGGACCTTTTGCGGTTCAGCTCTTTTTTACATGTTTCTTGCTTGCTGGATTGCCCTTTGCTCCAGAGTCCCCCTGGTACTTGATCCGCAAAGGCCGGATGGACCAGGCGCGTAAAGGCCTTGAAAAGCTTTGGGGGAAAGGCACCGACGCACATATGATGCTTTCTGGAATTGAACATTCAATCGAGGAGAGCTCCCACCAAGCAAATACACGTTACACAGACTGCTTCAAGGGTACGAATTTCCTGCGAACCTGCATTTCGTGTGGTGGATTTGTATGCCAGCATCTTGTCGGCATCATCTTTGTCTTGGGGTACTCCACCTACCTCTTTGAGCTGGCCGGACTGGAACCTTCTCACTCCTTCGACCTGGGGTTGGGGTCACCGCGTGCGGTGTGTTTGGCAACTTCCTGAGTTGGTTCATCCTTAACTCCTTTGGTCGTCGCCGAATGTTCGTTTCGGGCATGGCAATTCTTACTGCCTTACTGCTCTTGATTGGCATCATGGACGTCGTTCCATCTGATGCCGCTAAGTGGGTGCAGGCGGCTTGCACTGTGATATACGCCTTCTTCTACTTCATGACCATCGGCGCCATTTCTTTTGTGTTGCTTGGCGAAGTGTCGACCCCCCAGCTTCGAGCAAGAACAACGGCTCTGGCGACTGCCGTTCAAGCTGCCTTCGGCATTTTCATGAACGTCGTCATTCCATACATGGTCAATCCCGATGAGGCGAACATGAAGGGCAAGGTGGGTTTCGTCTTCGGGGGCTGCGCAGCCGTAGCGACAGCCATGAGCTCGATTTATGTTCCCGAGCTCAAGGGACGCACATTCGAAGAAATTGACATTATGTTCGCCCGACGCGTGCCCCCGCGCCGCATGGGCTCGTACGAGATCCTGTCGTGATTGTTCGAGAACCCCAGTTTAGGGAAGGAATGGGGACCATGGCGCCAGCCCTCCTCGTGCTTTTGTCCATGTGAGATATGTTTTCTAAGGGAGATAGTGTCAGAGATTGAATTACACAGTTGAATTAAGGGAAAATCCGCGAGTCTGGCTTTCATGACGCCCGCTTCTTAAGCTGCAAAGTAGCACGGCCACATCACAGATCGGTGTCTAGATCAGTGTCTCTCAATAGGTGGCGACCGGCATGATGGAGCAGAATTTCTCTCAAACCAATTTCGGGCGGCTCAGATCGACAACTGCAGGAGAACCTGACAGAGAGGCATATTTCTCCGAGATGGCCGTCGCTAGACGAGCGTATGATGCAGGCACCCTAAGCGGCAGGAACAGGGTGTTTCAAATATCCGAGATGCGATTCCCTTTGCATCCCCAGACACAGGAGAGAATATGGAGCAGTGCCAAACACCCGAAACCGTGACTAATGAGAACTACCCCGGAGACCAGATGGGCAAAGGATGATCCATCCGGGCGTTTCCTATTGAAAATCCCGCATCGTGGAGTTGTCGTCTCAGGCTCAGGGGGCAGAGCTTATTTTGGCCAGCTCCATAATATTTGGTAATGGAATGATGCGTCGCCCAGTCGTGGCGTTTCTAGTGACAAATTGTCCACTTTCTTTCTCCAGTCTCTCCAGATTCCAGTTGAAAAGACCCAGCTGGGGTAGCGATTCTGGGGTGGAAAATCTGGGGTTGAGTCTAATAACGATGCCGTTGTTGAGTTTGGTCGGTCAATTCATATGAATGCAAGAACGAAGATGTGAATCTTCCTCGGTGATTGTTCTCTCCTTGGCGTGAAACCACCGGAGGCGCCGGTGTCCACCGGCTTGGCAGCAGTCAACCCGACGATCTGTCTGCACTCATCTCTCCTATGAGTTCATGGATGTTGCTGATCGTAACGCGACCAGCCTCTTATCTGCCTAATGCCAATTCATGACAAACGATGCTGTGTATCAACTCTCTGTTATCTCCTATCCTAAAATCATATCAATGAATTGACCAAGGCGCATCTCCACTCGGGTTCCACCTGCTGTGGCAAAGAAATGGGTCCTGATAACTTGACCCTTTCGCATTCACTGCATATTAAACTGCAGTATTCGTATACCTAGGTGAAATATCCAGTGTTGTTCACGAGAAAATACCCGGCAGATCGACGCGTATACTATGCCTATACTATGGCGGATGAAGCTAGATCGCCTCGGCCAGGGCAGCGCTCCTTCACGCCATTTATGCTACCTTGACCGGCCCGGCGGAGCTGCAAGTAAGCAGGGACTGTTCAATTCGGTTTAGCCTCGTGGTATAGCGTCTTGGGCCTGAGACCAGTAGGAGATAAGAGGTTTGGCCGCTCTGCTCGCCACCAGCCAGCGCGCCATACTGGAGCTTAACCGGCTTAAGCCGACACCTGTCCTGGTTGTGCTGTCGATCATCCTCTGCAAAATTGGATGTATGAGGTCACTGAGCTCTTAAAGAATGGCTGTCAATGGGATACTTCGTCCACGCTTGTCGACTTGACAGTCGGTCTTTGTTGGGATGATTGCAACGTCGCCAATTGTTAATGTCAAACATGTTGATTGGCCTAGTCCGGGCTAGACTTTCTATCCGGCTTCTTCCCCAGTTCCACAATGGATCTCGGTAGGCTGTGACAGTCCGCTTGGAGGTTTCTGTTACGTCGCATTGTCGTGATTCGTTTGACCCAGTCCGACTCGGGCCCATCGGCCCACTGGCACCACGCGATCTTCACTGGTCATGGAGCGAGGACAAGACGTTGGTTGCGGAGCAGATGCAGCAGTAGAAGGCAGCCACAAGCTCTCCAGAAGAGGCAGGAGGAAATGCTCCTCTCGTGTTTGGTGCGCGGTTTTCTGTCCTTTTCTCTCTAGTGTGCAGGCCTTCGACTGGTTGCTCTCTGGGCTTCTCCTCTTATAGCCGGGGCTTTCGGGGTCTCTCATTGTTCTACCTCTCAGGGACAGGTCTTCTTGTTCTCCTCCCTGTTTCTTCTTCCTTCTCCCTGTTACTAGGACATTTACCCTGGTCCAGTGTTTTCATTATGAGTCCACCTCAGATCGTTTCACTTCCCTCGAATACCCTCGACCTTGAGGATGTTCAGCAAAAGGGTCTGCCGGCAGATCAAGCATCCATTGGCATGGATGAGAAGAAGCTGGACACGCCTCCCTACATGCAAGATGCCTTTGGTGACGAGGAGTTCGCCGAGGTCAAGTACAAGGTTCTGAAGTGGTGGTATGTAGGAATCAGCGGTTTCAGTTGAGCATCTCGAAATTGTCATTAACCTTTGTCATATTATTTTAGGCAATGTGGTCTGCTCATGGTAGCTGAAACGGTCTCTCTTGGTGTTCTATCGTTACCCGCTGCTGTGGCTGGGCTTGGCTTAGTTCCGTACGTACAGCTTCATGTTGTTGATGAACCGCGTACCTGTTGGCTAACATGGAGCAGCGCCATCATCGTTCTCATCGGTCTGGGATTTCTGGCGACGTATACGGGATATGTGATCGGGCAGTTCAAATGGAAATACCCGCATATCTCAAACATGGCCGACGCCGGCGAGGTGCTTGCCGGCAGCTTTGGTCGAGAGCTGCTAGGAATTGGCCAAATGCTATTCCTGGTTTTTATCATGGCCAGTCACTTGCTTACCTTCACCATTGCCATGAACACCATCACAAATCATGGGACGTGTTCCATTGTATTCGGTGTGGTTGGGATGATTGTTTCCTTTATTCTATCTTTGCCTCGTACCTTGGCAAAGATGTCATGGTTGTCACTAGTTTGTGAGCTTTCTTCGCCCTCTTGTTTGCCTGAATCCATATCCTAACATCAATCTCTAGCTTTCATCAGCATTCTGTCAGCCGTGTTCATTGCCATGATTGGAATAGGCATCTTACATCCTGGAGATCGCGTTGATGCTATTGTCAAAACCGATTTTGTTAACGGGTTTACCGCCGTGACCAACATCGTCTTTGCTTTCTGTAAGCCTTTGAACTTGTCCTATAAAGATATGAATTGCTGACCCTATTAGCCGGCCACGCTGCCTTCTTCGGTCTTGCCGCCGAACTCAAGGATCCCCGCGACTTCCCCAAAGCTTTGTGTCTACTGCAGGGTGTCGATATCTCGCTATACATCATCGCCGCCGTTGTGATTTACCGCTTCGGCGGTGCCGACGTTGCCTCTCCTGCCCTGGGTTCAGCCAGCCCGGTTGTGTCCAAAGTAGCCTATGGCATCGCCTTACCCACTGTATATTTCCTCCCTACCTTCTCCCACGTCCTGCATATAGCGACATTTCCTAACATCCAAACCAGATCATCATCGCCGGCGTCATCAACGGCCACATTGCCTTCAAGTACGTCTACATTCGCATTTTCCGCGGCACCGACCGCATGCACAAGCGCGACTGGCTCGCCATCAGCTCCTGGGTCGCCATCGGCCTCTTCCTCTGGATCCTCGCCTGGATCATCGCCGAGGCTATCCCCGTCTTCAGCAACCTGCTCAGTCTCATCACGGCCCTGTTCGCCTCTTGGTTCACCTTTGGCCTCAGCGGTATGTTCTGGCTGTATATGAACAAGGGGGTGTGGTTTTCTTCGCCGAGGAAAATCCTCCTAACGGTTGTTAATATTGGAAATATTGCTGTTGGGGCTTGTTTGGTATGTCCTTCCAGCCCTTTTCTTTTTCGTTTCAAATGGGCTGTTTGCATGAGTGGAATGTATTCCGGCGTTCATGTTCTGCGAAGCTAACTATGTCCCTCCTTGGTGGAATTAGTGCGGTCTCGGCCTGTATGTCTCGGGGAAAGCCATCCATGATAATCCCAGTAGTGCCAGCTTTTCCTGTGCGGACAACTCCTAAGAAAACGCATATTCTCAGCAACCGTTTTGCACCTCTATGTATATATGAAGAATTTAGGAAGGATAGATGAAGAATACATGAACAATCGACTTGCCAGCTGTACAAGCCAAATCCATATACCCCAATAATGCCATGCACAACCAATATCATCCATTTGACTGAACCTAAAAGTATCCAATACAGACTGTCTACCTGGACATGCTTGATATTTCTACCTGTTATCGGTACAGTCACCATAACTCTAACACAACCACAACCACAACCACAACCACAACCACAACGATAACGCTATAAGTCCAGGACCGGTCTCTTGCATCTCTGATCCAAACGCAGGTAAGGGATAAACAAGATACATACCGAATCTAGCCACTTAAGCTGATCAATTGATCGAACGTTTATGAATACAACTCCTTCAAATGTGGACAGGAAAAACAGGTTTAGGCCGGCTAGACGGTGACAGTTCAGCGTATACATTCGAAACGACAAGACAAAACAAAACAACAGACAATGAAGGGCAGAATAGGAACAAGGACAACGCCATGCAATGAAATGCCATCCATGCCAGTATTTTAAACACCCCGATTGAATAAACCAGTTAATGGAAACCTATCGAACAAACAGAAACAAAAGCAAGATAAAGGAAACAACAAAAGTATAACGATAGGGATGAGAGGGAGGAAAAGAAATGTATGCACGCACGCAAGTCGAATAATAATAATACCCTTATTGAAGAAGATACAGAAAAACAAACAAGATATTTGGACCAAATCGAATCTTCTAAGACCCCGTCCGACTTGCCCGCTTCATACGTCTGCGTTTGCGTCGACATGAATCGATCGCCTCTGCAGTCAGTATGTCGGCTGGTAGTTCGAACTCTCTTTCCTCTGGTTCGGGGACGGGGTGTCCGAAAGCCAGTCGGACTCGACCTTTCCGGTGAGTAGAGAGTGCGGCATCTCGGACGTGACGCTTCGAGAAGAAAGAGGTGAATGCCTTGTCGGGGACGAAGATGGGGGGAGGGTGTAGGGTGTGCGGGGGCTGCGCTGTCGCTGCGGCTGTTGTTGGTGTGGCAGCCGCGTTTGCAACAGGTTCTGGGGCGGTGTTGTTGGTGGCGTTGTTGGGTTTGGATTTCCTGCGTCCTCCTTCGCCGGCGGTAGATGATGCTTTTGGTTTCTTTCCGGCGGTGGCAGAGCGGGCTTCCTGATGGAGTTGGCGAGCTGCCCAGGCGTCAACGTCGTTGACATCTGGAGTCTCGCCGTAGCTCGGAGCGTCGGAGAGCAAGGTAGCTGGCGATTCACCGGGGTCTTCCGAGTCCTCGATCACTGCGTCGGTGGAGCGACGTTTCTGGGATGTCGATGCAGACGCGGAGAGGGATTGATGAAGATGGTGGTGTTGTTGGGGCGTGGCATCGAGGTCTTCGGCGGACTCGACGCGCAGCTTCTCCTTGTCGGCCTTGCGTCGCTTCTCCTCTTCCTTCCAGATCTTGAACTTCTGGATCAGCGCCGAGAGCTCCTTGACGAAAAAGTCGCGCTTCAATTCGTAATGCTTCTTCTCTTGGTCCGTGGCCCCGCTGATTCCCATGACTCTTAGCCAGTCTTGGCCTTGCAGCTCGTCCACCAGACGTTCCAGTTGCTGTTTCTCATGCTGCGCGCGTTCGCGCTCGATGTTCCGCAGCTGTTTCTCCTGCCGTTCATTGCGCCGGTGAGCTCGGAAGTAGGCTGCTTCGTTTAGAGGGTCCTCTTCTTCATCTTCATCCCTCTTGTCTGCATCTTGTTTGGTGTCCGAGGGCGTTTCTTTCGATTCAACCGGAGCGGGAAGAGTGATGGTCTCGCAATTATGTAGATTGACCAACGGGTTTCCAAACGGCGATTCCGTATCAAGGGCCGGCAGCGCCGAGATTGAGAGAGGTTCCGGAAGATCATCGACGAGCTTAATCTTAGTCTGGCTGGCAAGAAATTCTGGTCTGGTCAGCTCTCTGCCCCTCTCTGCATATGTCTGGCCAGGTCCTACCAGCTTTCGGAGGCTCGAAGCTCAGCAACTGCTCGTAGTTCGGGAAATACAGCGCCAATTCACTGCGCGCGAGGGAACCCCCATCATGCGAGCGGAGGGACCGCCGTTGCTGCTGTTGCTGTTGCGGCTGCGGTTCCGGTTGATCGGCCGACGCGAGGGGAGGCGCATCGTGAGCGATGCCGGGAGACGGTTGCGTCTGCGCAGGGGTAGGCAGATGCGACGAGGAAGCGGCGGGGGACTGGGCGGAGGGACGAGCGGTCTTCTGCATGCGACGCCGGCCGGCGGACTCTGGGGTCGGAGCCGGACGGCGCACGGACGACGGGCGGCCGGGCGAGCGAACAGGATCGGTGGTCGGAGAGATGGTGTCGAGAGGATCGGGGCTTTCGCGACCTCCACGCAGGAAGAGCGCGGTGGTCGAGGGGGTTTCGCGACGATGGATTCGCAGATCTTTGGAGCGTGGGGTGGCAGGAGGAGGATGGGACGAGGAGGAGGGAGCGTTGGTGTGAAAGGAGGGCGAGGAGAGAGGGCCCGGTCGGCGCGTGGAGTGTCGCAGGGGTACGATCGGTTTGGAGGGCGAATCGTCGATGGTGGTATCGAGGAGATCGGGGGAGCTCTTGCGACGGTGAGACACGGGCGCATGCAAACGAGGGCGCTTCGATGGCGGAGGAGCGACGTCTTCGTCGACGCGCAAAGTCGACCTCGATCGGATGGTCATGACGGAGGTGGAGGTCATGAGAGAGAGATGGAGAGAGGGGAAGAGCGAGAGGGGGGCAGTGAGGAAGGTGGAAGAAGAGGAGCGGAAAGGGATTGAAGTAGATGGGATCCCAATGATAGGAGAAACCAAGTCGGAGAGCTCAATGGCATTCAATGGGCGGCATGTTGATTGCGGTGGTGACCGAATGCGTCCATCTTGAGGCTGTTCCTTCTTCTCCTCGTCGGGGAGACTCGAGACATGACGGTTCCATACGGTATTGCTGCCTGGTCTGTCAGGCTACTAGTAGTCATGCGGACTGTATTGTGTATTGCATCCTGTGTATTGTGTATTTCTCTTCTCCTCCTCCTCCCTTCCCCTTCCTCCTCCCCTCTCCTCCGTCTCTTTCTCCTCTTCTCCTCCTCTTCTACTCTTGTTCTTCTCCATTCTCTTCATCTTCTCTCTCCGCAATGCTTTTCCCATCCCCCTCGGACAATATTCCGAATCGTCTGCCAATGGGAACAACGTGGGGGTGAATCCATTCTGACTTTCTCTACTCTCCGTCAATCATCATTCGCTGTCCATCATCAAGAGCCCTTTCAATGGATCGTCTCCCCTCCTTCTGTGGGGTGCGTGGGGGTGGGATGCGGTCTTGGATCATCTGCATCACAGCCAATTCTGCCTTTGATCGATGCGCAATTGGAGACCCCTCTCGTTGGGACCACTTTCCTCCTTGGTCTCTCCTCATGTTTGTTCTTCGTTCTTAATTCTGTCCTCTTCCTCTTCTTCTCCTTCCTCTCCTCTCATCCTACTGCGTACCGTCACCTCTCATCCATCTCCACTCAACTCGAGTCAGTCACGGCCCCGGACCAACTTTGCTCATTTCTTTCGTCCCCTCTCCTATCGCTAACATCTGGACGATTTGCTAGTCTACTATCGTATTCTCAATCATGGCTATCAACGGTTCAACGGGACCGCGGCCCTTAACCCCCGGCGTCTACGTGCCCACGGTCGCCTTCTTTGCCGGCCCCAACGAGGACGTGGATGTCCCCACGGTCGAGAAACATGCTGCCTACCTTGCTCAATCCGGCGTGGCAGGTCTGGTGGTGCAAGGGAGCAATGGTGAAGCTGTCCACTTGGACCGCGACGAGCGAAATGTCATCACGGCCGCCACTCGTCGAGCTCTAGATGCTCAGGGTGCTTCGACAATGCCACTCATTGTCGGCTGTGGTTCCTCCTCCACGCGAGAGACCATTCAGTTCTGCACCGATGCCGCTAACGCTGGCGGTGACTATGCCCTGGTCCTACCACCGTGCTACTACAAGGGCCTTGTCGATGGCGAGAGCCTCCGCGAGCATTTCCGCGCTGTGGCTACCGCGTCGCCCATTCCCGTGCTCATTTATAACTTCCCCGGTGCGTCGTCGGGTCTGGACCTCAGCTCCGATGACATCTTGGCCCTGTCAGAGCACCCAAATATTGTCGGGGTGAAGCTGACGTGTGGCAACACCGGGAAGCTGGCTCGTATCACGGCCCAGGCCAAACCCGAGTTCCTAACTTTCGGCGGATCTGCCGATTTCACGCTCCAGACCCTCATCGCTGGCGGGGCGGGTATCATCGGCGGAGTCGCCAATCTGATCCCTCGCGCCTGCGTGCAGGTCATGGAGCTGTACCGGGCCGGCCGGGTGGAAGAGGCCCAGCGGCTGCAAGCGATTGTGGCCCGAGCCGACTGGCATGCAATCAAGGGAGGGTTCGTTGCTGTCAAGAGTGCGCTACAGAGCTACCGGGGATACGGAGTACAGCCCCGACGGCCTTGCGTGGTCCCGTCGGCGGAGGAGAGATTGGCGTTGCAGGAGGCTTTCAAGGAAGGGATCGAGCTTGAACGGAAATTGGAAAAGGCGTGAATCCAGTGTATAGCGACAGCTTGGATTGTGTTTTCCTTTCTTTTACTTGGCATGAAATTAATGACTTTTGGTAGCTTCAATGGCCTGGAGGCGCGACTCACTTGCGCCAATTTTTCCCTTTGCTTCTCCGCTAATGCTCCTAGCCGGGCCATATTTTAAGAACGCGAGGTATCAAACAGACGTGTAGCTTGGACCAGTTGACAATCTGTTCTGACCTATAGCCAAGCAAGCATGACTTATCGAATGTCAGCCCATGTCGCGGACGTGTCGTTCCCCAGGTCACACACACACACACACACACACACACACACACACACCACACCGGGGAACCGCTCCATGCAGTGCTACACCGAACGCTTGAACTGGATTGAAATCACAAAGTGGATGTCAGGACCCCGGTTAATATCCTCCGAGAGCGGGATGGGCTCTTGGAGGGGCCCTGAGACGGACGACATTTCCGCTCTTTGTGGGAGACAGAGTTTCCAATCAGTTCTCATCTTACTGCGGATCGACCCCTTTTCTGCCGCATCACTTTTAACATTCAGGACGCAAAGCTTAACCTGACCCAGATCCGGAGAGTCTCGCACGGTCTCCGCCAATGCCCTCTTTCGCCATGGTGGTGACCGACTTTCCTCGGAGACGGTTCTTCCCTATGGAAGTGCAGGACGAGCTTGTCAACCTGCTGAGTATGGCGATAGAGCAAACCTTGGTCGACTAGCATCTGATCGGTCGGGCGGTGGCCGTCCATAATCGCGTGCTCTGGAATTCCTCCAGCGGTGGCCATGAGAGCGAGATACGAGGTGCTTCCGCTATTGAATTATTGGCGATCCGCGGAAGCGGGGGAGGGAATACCATTGATGTATCTACGTCGGATGCTTTTCACCTTGACTTTATTGGTTAGGTTTTATCGAGAGAGCAGGTGCATGTCGAAATATGTACAGGATAAGTGGGGGATGTTGAATGTTGGGATGCGAGGCGTTGGGCAACTATGCGGGATTTCTAGCGGAATCACTTCGTACGGAGTAGATTCTATCTGACTGCCTCACTACAAGTGGAATTGTCTTCGGCAATGGCTTGCTGAAGCACTTCTTTTGGTCATGTCTTGCGACGAGGCGGACGAAGCTATGGCTGCTGTGCACTTTGTAAGTAATAGTTTTCTATCATTCGTCGGTCCCTTGCAGACGGAGAAAGTCAAGGAGAGTCGAGCACAAGCCAAGAATAACCCAAGAAAGGAGAAAAGAGAAAACAGTTGAACAAGGAAAAAGAAAGAACAAAAAAAAAGCAAGAATGCCTGCAGCAGATACAGAACGTCTGTTTGCCGTGTTCTCCGAGCTGCAGCAGTGGTATACATTAACATGCTGTAAGTACAGGGTACATCCTGAACCAAGCAAACCCGCGCTGACCGAGACGTACCGGTAACCTGCGGCATCGGGGAATGTTTGCCGATCCGCCCTGATCCGGCAGTGATCGCTGTATCTCCCAATTAGGAACCCTCTTATCGATAGCGGGAGTCACGGGGCATCAATAATGGCTTTCCATACTTTCCTTTCTCCTTGGGCTTCCGCTTCCTTTCCTCCGATCCCACTCTGGTTCTTCTCCTCCCCGCCCTTCCGTCGTTTCCTTTGCAATGCTCCATTCCCACCGGTCTCGCCCCTCTCCCGAGATCTTGGAGATCTTGGAAGCGGTCAGTTCCCCCACTGCAAGGGACGGAAGCCAATGGATGACGATGACGACTCGACATGAGATCTGTCACTCGTGGCGTCAATGATCAGTGTCCAGACAATGAAGCCCGATCACTGCGTTGCATCCGAAACTGTGTTAACTTTTCCCGCTTTTCCATACATCGGGACAAACCGTTTTTCTGGGTTGTACTGTATGACATTCATGCATGATACCGCTGCATGATGGCTGATATATCGATTTATTTCTCCTGGCTTGCATGCAGCAATAGTCATGCGGGTCCTAGGAGCAGACTATTCCCATCTCTCTCACCTCTCTTTTCTCTTTTTTTTTTCTTTTCCTTGTCGTTTGTCTCCTTTTGGGATCCACCCTGGTTGGTACCTTCAAGCAACTTCCAAGCTTTTTAAAGTCCCCTGGATCCATGGAAGTTCATTGAACAACCCAGTCAAGAATCTCCAGCTTTCGGATCCCTCGGGTACGGCATCCTTTTCCCCCAGTGCCGCTTATAGAGTATTTCATCTCCAAAGCCGGCAGCTCCCAGAAGCCCACCTTCAGCAACCATGGCCAGAACTCTGATCCTGCTAAGCCTTTGGGTCCTTGCTGTCTGGGCTGGCAAATGCTCCTCCGACGTGAGGGAGAAACGACAGGAATGGTACGTCTCTCGTGTTCGCCGGACGCCTTGCAGACTGGCCCAGGAAAGCATAAACTGACTTCTGCCGCAGGGGAGAGCTTCCTTCGTCAACGCGCAAAAGCTATATCAAAGCCGTCAAGTGTATGCAGCAAAAGCCGGGCAAGCTGCCCACCGAGCACTACCCCGGGGCCCGCAGCCGGATGGATGACTTCACGATGTATGGCTTTCCCATTAGCTTATGGTAGACCTGGACAGTGGCTGATCATGTTTGCAGAACGCATATCAACAGCACTCTTGGTATTCACTTCAACGGCGTCTTCCTTTCCTGGCACCGTCATTATCTCTGGCTGTGGGAACAGGCTCTCAAAGAGGAATGTGGATATGAAGGACACCAACCGTTCGTCTGCCTTTTCTTGTTCACCGGCGTTCATTGTGATTGATGCGATCTTCTGCAGGTACTGGAACTGGGCTCTCTCGGCCGGCGATCTCGGTTCTAGCCCGGAATTCGATGGTTCCCCGACTTCTCTGTCCGGCAACGGCGATCCCAGCAAGCCCTATCCCGGCAATGATCCCGCCTTGACCAAGAATGCGACCGGCGGCTGCGTCACGACAGGTCCCTTCGCGAACCTTCAAGTGCATCTTCCCGACCTAAATTCATTCGTCGGAGCGAGCTCTGTGAATTCCTCGTTCTTCGACTACGAGCCGCGATGCTTTGCCCGGTCCTTCAACGACACCAGCTCCCGCCTCTGGCTCAACCAGACAGCAGTCGATCGCCTTCTCGGCTCACCCGACATTCGCTCTTTCCAGTTCAATATGGATGGTCGGGAGGGGCCACAATTCCCGAAGGAAAACTTTTTTGTCGGCCCGCATTCCGCCGGCCATCAATCGGTGGGACCCATCATGGGCGACTTCTTTGGTTCGCCCCAGGATCCGATCTTTTTCCTTCACCACGCCATGGTGGACCGTACCTGGGCACTCTGGCAGGCCCAAGACGAGGAGACTCGACTGACGGCGCTGTACGGTACCAGCAGCATGTTCAACGCCCCGTCTACCCCGAATGTGACGCTGGAAACGCAGCTTCACTTTGGCGTTCTGAGCGAACCCAAGACAATTGGCGAGCTCATGAGCACTCACGCGGAAGACTTCTGCTATGAGTATGCTTAAGTGGAGGTGGCTGATTCAGCGAGTGATGGAAGATGGGATGGCTGGTGCTTCCCCTGGCTCTGCCCTGAATTTCTCATAATTTAGTGTCTAATGTGTATAAAGGGAGGATTTCTTGGATGGTACTCTTGGATATACATAATCTTCTTAATTTTTCTTCGGGACTGTTGATGTGAATCATGGGAGAACCGAGACCGGTTTGAGAATGATCACGAGTCGACTGAAGCTGCTGCGGGACTGCATAATTTGGCATCATCATTCGTTTTGTCTTGGGTAACATTTTTGAATATGAATTCTTAATCTCGTCAGTGGCGGATGAAACCATGGGACTGAACTGTCGTCTCGGACCATCCCGAATTTCCTCGACCTTCCCCGCATCTCCGCAAAATTGAAGGACTGAAGGTGCTTAGCCAAGGAAGTCGCCGAGTCGATAGGAGTCCATCTGATCGCGCGAGGCAATCTCCGTTGATAAATGACAGGATGAAGCGAGTGAAACAGTCTCATTGTGCGCATCCAAGGATGTCACCGTCTCCGTCTCGTTGGCGCAGGGGATGTAACCCTGTTTGTTTGTTGGGCAGTACAGGTACCCGGCGCCAGGTCGAATTAGCGCGGGGGCTAAAAGTACCGGTACCCGGCCGTGTGGATGCCAAGTTATCGTCGCAAATTCGAGCATGTTGGAAGTTGTCCGAAGCCTTGTGGGCGAAGGATTGTCCTGCCACTCGGCTATGCTGTCAAAAATAGCGAGGATGCCGGTGTATGTAACTCTGCGGTCAACAGAGTGATAAGGCTCGCTCACGATGATCTGGAATGAAGATCAGCGTTCGGTCCATTCCACTTTCCAGCCCCGTTGGAAATGACTATTTATTGACGATCTTCTTCCCTTTTCGTTCCTTTCTTTCTGCTGCCTCTGAAACACTACCTCCTTCTGTCCTTGCCTGACGCTCCCTACATTCCTTTCTTTCATAACCTCCTTTTTCTTTTTTGCTGTTCATGTCCGGACTTCCTGACTCGACCTGGACAGGCTTCTAAACATGCGTTTTTCTTCTCTCTGCACCGCGTTGATCGCGGTGACTGGCGTGGCTGCGGTCAAGGTCAACCCGTTGCCGGCGCCGCGTGACATTAACTGGGGTTCGTCTGGACCCAAACATCTCGCCCGCACGCTTAACCTCCGCACAAAGGACGATACCCAGGATAATATCCTCTTCAATGCCTGGGATCGCACCTGGAAGACCATCTCCGAGCTGAAATGGGTCCCCGCCGCTGTCGAAGCTCCTATCTCGTCCTTTGCGCCCTTCCCGACCAGCACCCCAAGCAGCTCCGCCCATAAGGGCAAACGCGCAAACGCTCCGTCCCCCCTCCGGTTTGTTGATGTGGTCGTTGAGGATAAGAAGGCGGATCTTCAACACGGGGCTGATGAGTCGTACTCGCTGGTCGTCGCCGAGAACAAGGACAGCATCGCCATCAAGGCGCGTACTGTCTGGGGTGTCCTGCATGCCTTCACCACCCTGCAGCAGCTGGTCATCTCTGACGGTGACAAGGGGCTTCTCATCGAGCAGCCCGTCGTTATCAAGGATGAACCGCTCTACCCGTACCGCGGCATCATGATGGACACGGCGCGCAATTTCATCTCCGTGCCCAAAATCCTCGAGCAGCTGGACGGCATGTCCCTGTCTAAGCTCAACGTGTTGCATTGGCACCTGGACGACGCACAGTCCTGGCCTATCCAGGTCGACACCTACCCGGAGATGACTAAGGACGCCTACTCGCCGCGCGAGATCTACAGCCATGCCGACGTGCGCAAGATCGTCAAGTACGCGCGCGCCCGCGGTATCCGGGTCATCCCCGAGATTGACATGCCCAGTCACTCTGCCGCCGGTTGGCAGCAGGTCGACCCGGAGATGGTGACATGCACGGACTCGTGGTGGTCCAACGACGTGTGGGAGCTGCACACGGCCGTGGAACCCAACCCGGGCCAGCTGGACATCATCTACCCCAAGACGTATGAGGTGGTGCGCGACGTCTACGAGGAACTCTCCGACCTCTTCCCCGACCACTGGTTCCACGTCGGCGCCGACGAGATCCAGCCCAACTGCTTCAACTTCAGCAGCCACGTGAGCAAGTGGTTCGCCGAGGACCCCTCGCGCACCTACAACGACCTGGCCCAGTACTGGGTCGACCACGCCGTGCCCATCTTCCGCAACTACAGCGACGACCGCCGGCTCGTCATGTGGGAGGACATCACGCTGTCGGCCGAGCACGCGCACGACGTCCCCAAGGACATCGTCATGCAGAGCTGGAACAACGGCCTCGAGTACATCTCCAACCTGACGGCGCGCGGCTACGACGTCATCGTCTCCTCCTCCGACTTCCTCTACCTCGACTGCGGCAAGGGCGGCTTCGTGACCAACGACGTGCGCTACAACGAGATGTCGAACCCCGGCACCGCGGACGTCCCCAACTTCAACTACGGCGGCAACGGCGGGTCGTGGTGCGCACCCTACAAGACCTGGCAGCGCATCTACGACTACGACTTCACGCTGAACCTGACCTCGGCGCAGGCCAAGCACATCATCGGCGCCACCGCCCCGCTCTGGAGCGAGCAGGTCGACGACGTGACCGTGTCCAGCTCGTTCTGGCCCCGTGCCGCGGCGCTCGCCGAGCTGGTGTGGTCGGGCAACCGGGACGCCAAGGGCAACAAGCGCACGACGGAGATGACGCAGCGGATCCTGAACTTCCGGGAGTATCTGGTTGCCAACGGGGTCATGGCCACGGCGTTGGTGCCGAAGTATTGTCTGCAGCATCCGCATGCTTGTGATCTGTACCAGAACCAGACTGCCATTCAGTAGTCTGGCTCATTGCATTGCACTGCATTGGGTTGGTTTGATTTGAATATTCGATTCCTTTGATTTCTTCAGATCTCTTTTTTTGAGTATGGCAGCTAGTTGGTTGATTAGGACTTCTTATCTAGTTGATAGCTTTCTTGCTGTACCGACCATGATCTTTTAATCTGAATTGATTGATCTTTTTCCTTTGACACCGTACACCTGTAGGCTGGCAGGAAGTAAGCTGAGTGCTCTTCAGGCCTTGCCTACTCACTGAAAATATTAACTTGGCATATCAGGCCTCGTCCTAACCAGGCCCCTATCAGTAATCCAAACAACAGCAGTCACGGAACAACCGGAATAATAACAGCGAGGCGCTACGGTCGTTCCCTCCCAGATGGCCATACCAAGCCTAGTCTTATTGACTCCCAACATTCATTAAGCAGTCAATAAATAAGCTTCTCGCCTAAAAGCGGGCCAGTCTTCCAGTCCGCCAGCAGTTCCACCACCCGAACCAAGAGCCAAGGGCGACGGCAGCCACATGAGGTCGGTCAAAGAAACAGTACCTCTGCGGGTGACCAGACGACCCTCAAAGACCAGTGGGTGCCGCAGAACTCTAACTCTATCATCGGTTTTAACTGGACCTGGATATGTAATCTAGGGAGGTCGGCGCTCTTTGTTTCTCGGGATGGATAGGTCGCTGAAGCTGGTGGTTGGGTGGCGTTGATTGAGGTACGGATTGGGGGTGTGTTTCCTTTCAACGAGAACTGATAGCTTGACGGTGCTAACGACGGGGGTTTATAGCTCTATCTATAGACGGATGGGGAGAGGCAGTTATATACAAGTTATTCGCGGACAATTAAATCTGGTCTACGAAACTAGATGGCCCATGTCTATCTACGCCTCTCTCTCTCTCTCCTCCTTCTATCCATCCTCTCGCTGACTCCATGATAGATATTCAATATCTTCATCTATAGATCCTAATCTAGATCTACCTATACTACTCATCACCCGATCGATAAATCACAATGTCCTACCCCCCCCCCCCCCCCCCCCCCCCCCCTTACCAGTCCCACCACCAACCAAATCCCACCCCCATCAACCCACCCACTTCATAACCCACCGTCTCCCTCTCCTCCTCATCCTCTCCTTCGCCTTCCTCCTCACCCTAACCATCCTCCTCCTCCTCCCAATCACAGGTCCCCATTTCCTCGGCACAGCACGATCATGTCCCTATCCGCCTCATCAGTCCCTGGGCCAACAACAACCCCATCCATACATCCTCAGCTCCTTCCGCGAAAACCCACTCAACGAAGCCCCATCCTCCCAGACGCAGAACGATCTTGAAAAAGACAAAGTCCCCTGGGAAGCAACCCTCATCCCCCCGACCAGCGGCGGCGGGATCTTCGCCACCCATCTCGACGTCCTCACCGAGGCGGAGGTGCAACGGGTCGATCCGAATAGGACGCATAGTGGCACGTTGGATCGGTCGTATGGGATCGCCATGTTTCATCAGTTGCATTGTATGGGGGCGTTGAGGGGGAAGATTTTTCCGGACGCTGTCCCTGGGCATGAACATGGGCATTCTTCTGGGAGTAGTGATGGAAAAAGGGGCTCGGAGAGCGAGAAAGAGAATCAGGTGAAGGAGCATGATCATCTTCAGCATTGTTTTAATTATATCTTGCAGGTTTGTTTCATCTCTCTCTCCCTTCACTGGCCCGTTTTTCTCTCTCTCCTCTAGGCGAACTCATCCCCATCAGATCCAATCCAAATAAGATTACCTAACAAGAAAGATAAGTCCATCCTCTGCTCCGCGTCCGACACAATCGAGCGCCCAAAACACATCACGCCGCACGGAAAGCCAATGTGGCATATTGATGGCATCGGGGACGTGCATCGATGTCGGGACGCGAAGGTGCTGTGGACGGTTTCGGAACAGAGTCTTCTCAATCCGGTCGATATGAGGTCGTGGAAGGGGGAGGAGGGGGTGGGTGTTAGGGAGTTTTTCGGTTGAGGTATCATTCTTTCTTTCTCTCAATCTATGAAGGTGCTTGTTTATCATTTATCGACAGAGAAGGAGAGAGGGGGGGGGGATGTTTTGCTTAAGCTGGGGCTATGGCTGAGTTGGGTTCGAGGTGATGATGATGTTGACAGATAGATGATCGAGAATATGTCACAGAG